AGTTTTTTTTCTTCCATTTTCTGTGGTAGCCAATATTATGTCAAAGGGTGTTCTATAGTTGCTTGCAAAACGTCATCAACTGTTGGCAAGATAGTCATACCGGCATTCATTAGTGTCGCATGCAAAACGTCTGTTAAATTCTTCTTTCGAGTTCTTTCTATTTCAACAATTTCTCTCTCTGCATTTTCTTTGATGGATAAATCTGTTATGAGCGGGATTAGACCGGAATAGACATCTTTGTCATACATGACATTATGCGAAAGCTCATCTGCTAACATGGAAATTCGTTCCAGTTTTTTCCGACTTACAGGTAGATGCAAAGCCTCATCGTTCATATACCTTCGGAATAAATTTATTGCGGTATCTTCATTAGGTGTGTGCTCTTCAGAAATGACTCTAATTCATCAAGAGTTGATCTTCTAATTTTGAAACGCCTTCCTTTCCACAGGCGTCGTATAATCCATTATCTATTGGATTGTCACTGATTGACCTTAAACTTTTCTAGCTTTAAAAAACATTAAGGACAGTGTTCCCTCTACAGCTTTCAGAGGCTGCGCATACGCGTTGATTTACTGCGCACACGTGTTGATTTACTGCGCACAGACGTATTTCGATGTAATGTAACAATGTTCTCGGTTGGCAGGTTGAGAAAGATTGTTGTTGGCCCACTTATTACCCGGTTATAACGCTAAAATTTCTTCATTGGTTTTTGCACAAATATTAGTCATTTCCAAAAAAGTGCGCACACACCAAAATTTCTGCGCGCACAGACTACAAAAAATTAGAGGGAACATTGATTGAGGATATGTAAAAATTTCATGATATTTTAATAAATGTGTGATTGCAAAAAGCTCAGGGGGTCGTATATTAAAAAGTTCAGTATTACCGTAATGAAGATAAGTATGCATATAGACGGTCTTCGGCATGTCTCGATTGATTGTAAACTGACGCCACTCTGGGATGTACGCGGAGTTGGAGTTGCCAACGCAACCGTATCTTCTTGAATGTTTATCGGTCTGATTATCCCCTCTCCAGACTCTGTATTCAGGTGGATGTGTGTTTATGTGCACAAAGTTGGCTGTTGTATACGTATATGGTGAATCATCCAGGAAAGTTAGAATCTCGTACATTCCAATCTCAATGACATTAAAAACATTTGGCTTTGCATTCCTACATTTCTGTAAAGCTATCTACCAGGTATTTTCACATTGCAGTTTTCACTGTCAATCACTTTCACAATGTCACGTTGCCGAGTTACCTTAGGCTGCAATTCCCCTCCGTGTCCCTCTCCGCGTGAATAGCCTATTTCAGCAGATATGATGTAGAGAATCTTCTATCACAGATTGATGCGTTGAAACATGATTGTAATGCGCCTTGAATTAGCGGAATTGTTGGGAAGTTCTTACTGCCTGTTGGTTTTTAGTTGGATAGTGATGGCGACCTCCGACCAACCGTGCATCTGTCATTACCAACTTCTCTCTGTTTGTAACGTCATTACGAACAAGATGTTTCTTTTCCGCAAAATCAAACTTTTTCATTCTTTTCAGCATATATTCCGAGTACAGGTCTTCTTTCATTTCAAAATAATACTTATCGCCATCTGGATGTCGTGGAACTCGACAAATAAAATTACCATTATCGTCCTTTCTGTTTTTGCAACGCTCCCCTGCACCTCGCATTTGTGCGTTGCCAATATTTTGTACAAATCTTTCATATTGAAAGTAATTTGTAATAATTCCATTTGCTAAAAGCGACTGAAAATCAATACTAAATCCGAAGTCATTAAATACAGTATCTGGGTCACACGAAATCCGATGTTTTTTGCATAGGCTCATCGTATAATGAAACACCAATATGCACATGGGCTTTGTTTCCAGCCGAACTCTGTGACTGGAACTCAAGGCGTGCAAAAATGTGATGAACCAGACCTATAATCTGATCGGGGCTCTCAACAATATATCGTAAAAATGCAGATACAAAACGTAACCATGAGCGGTTGATGATCTTTATATTAGAAGCATATTATACCCCTACGGCACATCACAGTATGCTTTTATTGCTGCTATAATGTTGCGAACGCCCGGTGAAAAGGTTTCATTGTTCCTCATAGTCAGCCAATAAATCCATGGGTGAATTTTCGTTAATGCATCTCTTACTTTAAGAGTCGACTCATAATCGCCATATGGCATTGCCAATTCCTCAGCTATGTAGTGTAGTGTTTTTTCTCCGCCAGATTTTCAAGTCCTCCTTTTCAAACCAGGGCTGATGACTTTTCATTCAAACAATCATTCAGTTTTGAATCAAAATAATAGTGTAAAAGTCTGTTGTGAGGCCGTCCGCAAATCATGGTCACGTATCCGAATTTTAATTAAATCCTTTTTTGATCGTAAAGCTCTAGCATCTCGGAAGGCCCCTCCATAGCCCATTAATTAAGCACTGTGGAATTGCATCAACTGAAGCCTTGTTATGCATTCCCCAGAATGGGGTGGGTGAAAAACCTTTGCCTCTGGATAAAAAAGGGATATTGCAAGTGAGCCACTTTTTGCCACAAAATAATGCATAAAATTTTTGCTGAATTGCGCTGGATTTTCACGCTTCCGTCGCTGAAGGACGTTGAAACCGCCATTTAATAAATATTGGAAAGGGGACGAATCGGTCAGCTGGTCACTAAACAAAAGCTCATTAGTTGGGACTGTGTGTGAAGGTAGCCCACATATTGATCCAGATCCTCATTACAATTGTAAAAATCAAAAGCATAGTTTGTAACAAAATTGGAGTCTTCTCCCACACCATTAGACTGCTGAACATCTATCACTCTCTCTCGATTTAACTTAAATAGCTTGGTTCAATTGAACCTTCAGATTGCAACTGCACAGTTTGCCCCCCATTACGTGAGTCTGACGCAAAATGGGTTCTACAAATGCCTGTACAACATTGGATGCCACAGGTTGCATAATGACACCCCCATGCCGCTTTATATTTGCTCTCGCGTCTATATCAAAGTAAATTTAACATGTGTGGGAGAGGAAAGGTTCAATGACCTGAGAAGAGGTGAAGATCACATCACAATTCAAGATTGTGTGATGTCACAATCATGATATTTATCACTTGATTTTTGTATAGGAAATACAGATAAAAACAATGGATGTCGGTTTTTATATAAAGTTTATTAAAAAAATCTAGTGATTTTCTACAATGTAATTTAATTTTTGATAAATGAACACAAGAGACCTCTTCCAAAAAAACCATAGTGCTATTCTTCAAACGAAAATAAATTTAAATCCTGTCTAAATTTCGGGGAAACACGGTAAGAAGTGCTGTATAGTGTACAACAAAACTGCTATGCGTAAAACGGAAACTTTCTCATATTATAATTTAAATTCGATTTAATTTCTTTTGTTTTTTCGAAGATTTACGTACTCGAGTCGCCACCGATCCTAATAACCAGTATACAGTATATAATTATTCAAAGCTTTCTACATATTTTCACGACCCACTAAGATTCCTTTTGCGACCCATAGTTTGGGAACCGCTGTTTTAAGAGTAAATATGAATGATCCGGATTCCAGCAACAGAAAACGGGCTGGCCTTCGATAGCTCGCAAAAGCATTTCATCTTTTACTAAATCAACACTCAAGCCGTAAATAGCGATGTTCCAATAAAAACTTTCCGGTACATTTGGGCTATGGAGTATTTCACCGTTCTTAACATACCACCATTCCATAGAAGCCTCCCATCTAAAACTAAAAGCAAAGGACGGCCCGCAAACTGCAGTGAAGGACACTCATGATGTTCTCTGTTATTTGAAGCTCGTTTAACAATAAGTGTCACCACCAAAATATTCGCACTCTCAACAGCTCCCAAGAGTGCATAATTGTAAATAATTCTACAATAAAGAAGGCAAAATTTCAGCGAACTACCGTTATGCAAACATCATTGGAATCAAAAGGGCAATGCTGTTTTTTAAATAGTTTTTTACAGCTGTCAAATGGGTTGTGGTCGTACTCGTTGGCAGGATGAACAATGGGAATAAATAAATCATTTGGCTATACCTGAGATGGATTGGTTAAATCAGAGGATTGCGATGATTATGACACCTCCACATAAAGTAACAATCCTAACGCGAAATGTATGTACCATTTGTCAAGTCAAGTTTATTTTTTCCAATCAATAAAAAATATAACAATCATAAACTACGACAAAAATAAAATTTACACTGTTTTACTGGTGAAGGGAAGTCGTGGGGAACCAAACTGGCTATCGAGCGGCGACACCCAAGGTTCTGATAGGATAGGATAGGATTTACATATTTATCCCGGGGGAGAGGAAAGCCGATAAGACGGCTTATCCATATGGCGAACCACGGCCTCTCGTCCGGTTACCATTCCAAGTCTGGTATGGGATTAGTTTTACTGTAATATTTGTTTTCGGAAGCATGGACTTGGTGGTGGAGGAAGCCGTAACCGACCAGCGGTTACGTGAACCACCCAACGACGGCGAGGAGTCCAGCAATCCTCTCGCACATAACCATCCCTGCATGGGATTCGAACCTGCGAACCCACGCAGAGTAATTAGAGGTGCGGTGGCGAGCGTATTCCTAACGCTTAGCCCGTTGAGCCACACCGCCGCGATAGGTAGGTAAAAATCTGAAGGAGCGATCGTCATCGATCGAATTCATGTCAATGCTAACTACATACTTCAGATTCATCGTCTGTATATAAATTTAGTTTGTTTTCACTGCCAGATAAACAATTTCGGTTTCACTGCTAACACTGTTCAGCAGTGACCACATCCACAACTTGAACCATGTCTGTTCATTAATCTTCTCACAATACCAGGGTTCAAGGAAGGACAGCGGTTTGTTTGCTACATACGGTAATTATCATGCAATTAAATATCATTCGACGCCTCTGTCCACGGGATACAAAATCCTCTGCAAGTTTTTCAAAAAATGATAAAATACCAACCAATCTAAACTGGTACAGAAATCAACAGCCAAGTTGAAAATGTGTAAATATGTATTTTCTGAGGCTCTCACAAGTACAATAAAACTGATGAAAAATCAATAAGTGCAACATAGATTAGGATTGAGGTGAAGAACTACATGAGCAATAATTAACTATGTGATAATGACATTGTGCAATAAAAATTTGAGAATATAATACAGGATAGAGAATAGAAAGGCACATTGATAGAAATTATTGAAGAAACAAAATAGGCACAAGTATGGAATCAATGAAAATGGTGATAAAGGACATGAACACTTAAGAAACATAATTATTCAAGACTACGTTATCTGAAAAGTGATTAAAGTGCACAGTTAAAACAAGATGGTGTATACTACATAATAAATACAAAAATAGGCACAATGCAAATAATGAAGTAACTCAGAGAGCAGAAAGGAAGAAATAATGCAGTTAAAGACAGGTAGTTTCATCAGTGTAATATTCATGAGTTATATAGAAAAAAAATCGAGCACCACAATATAGAAAAATATATGAACATGATGTAATAACAATATATACTTGAAACATTATCTGGTTTGCTACGAAAACATATTCCAAGATATGATAAAGACATGTTTTCCTGGGCTGTGAAGATATTTTCCAATCGGCTCAGTGTCACTGAAATATTCGACTCTTCTTTCAACTTCAGGTTGAAAAAAATCCCCCAACATTGCACAGTTTAAAATTTTCGACACGTGGTTCGGAAATAGAGGATTCCAGGAAGAACACAGTCACAGCTTATTAACTTCTCTCTCTTCCCAGATAGATATGGAATCTTATCTTATATTGAAGCAAACACAATAGTGGATATTTCCCATGCAGGGCTTTGTTGCAAAACACCAATGCACATATAAAAAAAAATTCCCCCCAAAAGTACTAAATAAATTTAAAATAGAAATAAAAATACCGATTTCATGTCACTGAATCTGGTTTTGATTCATTTAATATTTTCCCACTAGACCTTGAGTTTTTACTTGATGCTGATGGTGTAACAATTTTTTTTTCTAATTTTACATTTGTTTTCAGAGCATTGTCCGTCTTGTCTGAGTTTGAGGATGATTTTGCTTGAGAAAAATTAGTCTCTGTATTATCTGGCGTATTGTTCACTGAGGAACTTGTATTTGTGTCACTTCTATGTACTATAACTCCAGCAATACTTCCAGAACGACTAGAATAATAAAAGGAACGTATTAACAAAACACAAAAAATACTCAAAAATAATAGAGTAGGCATTGGGTGGTATTGGCCCAATAAATACAAAATCCTTTCAGGATTACCTATATACCGGTACATATTAAGTAACAATTCAATATTACTGTGTTAAATAGAAAAAAAAATATTAATAATAAAGAAGTAATTGTTCAGCAAATTAAGAAGCTTCTGTGCCCAATTCACCATGTAGCTACCAACTTATTATGTAGACTTTGAAGTCAAAAACCATGGATTCAAACGTCATGGCAACCACTTGATCCAAAGTGTAATGAATTGAGCGTGTTGTGAGTGACTAAGTTAAACAGTAATGATTTTAGATCTACTCAACCATATAAGCTCTCTGCAGTTTCTGCTTGTCGAAGAATTTGTCCCAGACATATTTTGTCAAGGGAAGTCAAGCACACTCGAAAATATAGGAGATTGGTTTCTGATTGAATTTATGGACGATCATAAAAGCGAGAGCTACTACTACTAGACTTAATGGGTCTGGCCATATGATCAGGAAACCAGTTACGAGATGGTGAATTCCACATAACTGAAGTTCTTGGAAAAATAACTTTGTGCATCAAATTTTTTTGTCTGGTAGGTACATTGACAGTAGAATAGGTGTAAGCTCAGAGTTAACTGAGTTTGATGACTGATAACTTTTTTCAAGAAACAAAAAGTATAGTATTAACTACTCAGTCCCCAAATAACTGAAAAATAATTGAAGGCTACCTCACACAAATATGAAAAATAAACGTTTACCTCTCATCCTCAGAACTTCCAGCAGAAGAAGATGGTAATCCTGCATCGTCGAATTTAGCATTATCTTGAACTTCCAAATTATTTAAAGCTGCAAAATTTTTTGCCCAATCTGGCATTTCTCCTGATTTGTTTGGTTTCTTTTTAGAAACTGTCCCAGGTACAGTCAGTGTCAATGTGCCAGTTTCCGTATCTTAAATAAAAGGCAATAGTGAGTATGGATGTCAGAAAGTTTGTAACATGTTGTTCAGTAGTAACATATAAAAATTGTTTGGCTTTAGCATGTAAATGTACTATAATCAATACACATTAAAAATTGCGTACTTGATGTTTTAGTTATTGATTCATCACTTTCACTGGTGTTATGTTGAGAAGACAGAGCTTCAGATACAGTAAGTTCTGGAACTGCAGGTAAATCTTCTTCCTCAATAGATTCTTGTATAGATTCCTGCTCCACCCTGGTAATGTACAATTATGTTTTTGAAGGATTATTCACCCTTACTTGATAAGGTTATATCTGAAGAATAGGATAAGATGAAAATCTTTGACCTTGTATTGATTAAATATCAAAACCATGATGATTACTGAAAGATCCTTTTGATGAAACAAAAAAAGGCATGAGGGTACTCCTGTAGTGTGTGCACCAGTTAGGATTAGGCCATAATTTTATTCCGATTTTCCTTCATTTAGTTCTATTAGGAGTTCAGGACAGTCTGTGTTAACCAAGTGAATATACCTCCTGCCCATAGGTTTCAGTATCTTCACACAATTTGATGCAAAATAGGGGAACAAAATTAGTTACCTCCATATTGGTTAGGACGCTTCTGGAGCGCCGCACAAGACATAGGTAAAGCAAGTTAAGATTGTCAAAATTCTTAAAATATATCCAAAAAACTACCTCACATCATGCAATCATGAATTATTAGTAGTGATAAATTGTTTCCCATTTTGCAATATACACCAACTCCACATTATCAAACATAGATTTCTCATCTATATGAAAACACAAATATTTATCATAACATACTATACTACCTTCTTGGACTCAAGTTTGGAGGTCTATAGCCAGTGGTAACTCGTTGTTGACGTCTTTGAAAATTTTCATTCCCACCTCTTAAACGTTTACTAAGTTCTTGCATCTGAACATAAAATACATTTATTAAGAAGTAAAAAATGTAGTTTCAAACCAAGTAGGGCTACAAGAATTGCTTGCGTAAATTAGTTCAAAACACATCTTCTTCTCTCAAATTTGTGATATGTACACAGTGTATATGGTTTGTATAAATATATATCGAGCCTATGCAACTGAATATTATTTTATTTGTCTTTGGGGTGGTAACAGTCTTAATGACCTTAGCAGTATCATTATTTGTTAGCACCCAGTCATATATCTTTATTATTTGTGCATATAATTGTATTTTGTTTTCTGGTCTAGCAAATCAAATAAATTCTCTATTCATAGGATCCAATACTAGTTAATAATACAATTATGTATTCACACACAAACCTGTAGGTTTTGTAACTTACCTCATCTCTATTCATGACAGTCATATCACCAAGTATATCTCTCCTCCAATCTGTTAAATTAACTTTCTTTCTCATTCTTAATTGTGAGTTACGATGGTGCAATGGCTGTTGACCAGTAGTCCCTGCAAAACAATATTTATATTCAGAGATATTCAAACAGGCACAAACTAAGAAGGAAATAAATAAAAGCAATAGGCAATATATGAAGACAAATTTTTTACATAAAAAAGTCAGAGAACAAATTTACCCAATGATTTTGAACTACTGGCGCTACTTGGTTTGTCAGTTAAATTTGTTTCATTTTCAACCTGAAAAATAATGAATTGTTCAATAATAATGACGAAAGAGCTGTTGGAAATTGACTTAAATTGTTACAAAATAACACAATTTTACCATGAATTTAACTTTTCCAGTTTTTCGCCTTCTTGATGAACTTGGACTGTCATAAGCATTATTTTCTGTATGAAACAAAAAGGTTAGGAAGACATAGACTGAATGTGATTGGGTGTGAAATCTCCATTTAATTTCCGAGTAAGTTTTCGTGACCTTGCTTTGTGCATATTTCCTTAAAAAATAAATCTTATAAATAATTACTTTATCAACACATATTGAGAACTACTCCAGCTCATTGGCTTGGCTATGAAGATCATGCTTGTCATCACATTAATGAATACCCTAGGCTCACAGGTTCAAATGGAAAATTTGCCAAAGTTCATTAGAAAGTCCGTATGTAAATATATATTAGGTAAATCCTTCTACCTTTGAAGGGGCCGCCATTGTTTACTTCCATTGCCACATCTACAATATGAGTTTTAGGAAACCATCCGGAAGGTCCTTTGTACATTTCATTTTTCTCTTCCGTAACTGATAACATCTGGCCTTCTTCGAGTGACATTTCTTTATAAGTCCGAGCCTTATACTTTGCAATTACTTTCACCATCCTTTTCAATTTGACAACATCTGAAATATTCCATCAATGTTTACATAAAAATTTTATGTTCAATTTAATGAACAAACAATTGCTTTTAAATGTTCAAGTCGACAAACTGTTTTCACTATAAAAATGCTTTCAACAATAAAAGGTTTGAAAAATTATGATGCAAAAAGTAAAATAAGCTTAAGTGGTTCAATTCTGTGAATATTATCATGTAAAACCAGTTAGTTTTGGACAGTCATACATTCTCAAATATGAGCAACAACACAATGTATTAAAATTACATTTTCACTTGTATGAACGATGGTGGAAAACTGCCACAGAGCCAAGCAATTTCAAAAGCAAACACAGGCATATCACCTAAAAACAAATATCCTTAAAGTTTTATTGGTAAATAATGAAGTAAGACTCTGACTTATTATTATTCCATAAACGGTATGAAAATATAGGGTACATTTAAGACCAAAAGTCTTAAGCAAACACAGGTTTAAAATTGACTGCTTGCTGATGAAGTAATTGAATTCACTGGGGTGATAATTAAGAAACATGTCAAACGATACACTAACCTACATCATGGTACATGACATTAAATAGTCACAGTGTAATCTAATCAGTGAACCACGTTGCAATGCATAGAGCAGTGATTCTCATGGTGAACTACGGACTATCGCTAAGAATAGCCACATGGACGTCGAGGAGTCCAGCAATCCTTTCGCACATAATTATTATAAGTATCAGACTCTGAATAAAAGTCTCAATAAACGTTGAGGAGCACTGACATGGAGCAACATACCAAAACAAGAATATAAATATTTAATAAAAAAAAACGCCGTAACGCTGAAAATACGCAATTACGCAAGGTTTGAAGTGAAAAATAAACTCTACCGGACATGCTGAGCTTGGGTGAAGGAACATGGAGATTATTCTCTTGTCTGGAATCGGGAGGTGTCTGTTGTTGCTGCCTTGCTTTTCTTTCCCTTCGTTTCTGTTCACTTCTTGCTTTCATCATTCCTTGTCTACGATTACTGGGCGATCTTCTACCGCTGGGTTCCTTGATTGAACTGTATAATAATAGGAAAGATAAGTTAAGTCATTTCGTTATAAATGCCTATACATACAAACATTATTCAATTCTGATAAAAAAATAAATAACTACACAAGACAGAACAAAATGGCAGACCGCACAGTCATTTCCAATTTCTTGCTTATATTTATTTTTTGGTTTTAATTGTTTTGTGGTTGACAAATAATAAACTCTCTCTCTTTATGATTATTAACTGGCCAACACTCATGCTAGTAATTTTATCATTTGAACAACTGGAAAAGGTCCTTTTTTAGCACGACCAACTATTTGTTCCATGACCATGGAAAAATCTCTTTAACAAAGCATATTAAACAAAACTGGTGAAAACTCAAATAACAAATTTCTTATCTTCAATAATCCATCCAGTGAAATGTAAAAGACTGTAATTCGTGATTAAGGCAAAAAATGAAATACTAGAATATTATGATCTGTTCAAAATAATTGATATTCAATATTATAAATTTCTGATTTTAGGAATAATTCAGAAGAGTTCCTTCTGAAAAGGAGCAATTGAAGTCTCACAGTGCAACCAAGTAGACCTTCTTTTAAGATCCAAAAATCTTTAAAACATCAATCAATCAAATCAAAATGTTTGTTTTGATATTTTGCATTCCCAAATTCAAACAAAGCAAATATGCCGAGACTTCTTCGGTCACTATTTTGGTAGAAGATGAGTAAATTTAAATTATAATCAATATTGCATGTTCAAAAATATTATTTTTAAAATGACTATACCTTCGCAACATAAATTTGAGCCAAAATATTTAAAAAAAAACAAGTATTAGCCTATTATTACAATATTAAGTGACAGAAACAAACAGTGCAAATAACAGATAGAATGTTTCGTTTTACTGCACCTGGTTTTTCTTAAGCCTGGTGTTTCTGGTGTATTTGTCGATGAAAATCGCTTTCTTGGTGATCCTTCGGTGCTTGCACGTTCACGAATACTTCTTTGTCTCTTTCTCGGAGTTCCTATTTCATTGGTAGTCAGTAGTAAATAATAAATACAATCGTTATACAGTGACAATTTGTATGCCAATTCAAACATAAGTAGATTACCGTATATATGCTCTAACATACGAGACAATGCAACTGAAGAATTTGTAAATCAAAATTTCAAAGATCGATTAAGTTGACAATATAAAGATGGCCATTACTTTAGATAATAATCATAGGATAATTGTTTATACCAGGGATGACCAACATTTCAATTACGATTGACTGGCAATCGCCACTACTGGTATTTGATCGGATCAAAGTTTAAACTTCAATACTCATTACATTTTTAGTACTTTATTATAATCAGTCAACCTCAAGTTGAACACAGTTTAGCCACTCCTGGTCGAAAAATTGAAAAAAATAAAGCAGATAGTCTTGTTTTATAGCTTATCCAAAATTCAAAGAACGGGTTCTGTTATTCGAACTCACTAACCACAGGTTCTTTCATTTTAGAAAATTATGGCAAACTTATAAGCTCCATAACAATACAACAACATGATAAGAACAACTTAAACATCATATTTACTAATAATGTATGTCACTACATGTTCACATGATTCCTGAATACAACACTATAAAAAAAATTTTGTATTCACCTGGTAAACTTCTTATGCTGAAAATTGTGTCATCATCTGAATTATCATCACCAGATTGAGTTTTTAAACTAACAGTAGCAATAGAACCTCTCGGACCTCTTCGTGACATTTGATGTGTATTAGGACTTGCACCACCATATTGAACATTGGAGGATGTTTTTCTAACTCGTGTGCTAGCAAATAAACCAGTAAAAGCCTCTTTTGCAGCACCCAATGAGCGATCCTGAACAATCATTAAATTTTGGTTAAAAATGGTATTTATGCAGATGATGAAAATATCTCATATGGTATCATACCTACTCCTAAACTTTTGCTGTGTAAGAGAGACGATTGATTATAGAACCAATAATGTTCACTCCACTATCTATTAACTGTCCTTCAGTAGGAAGAGTAACAGTAGTATCAAAAAATTTCGATATTTGACAATTCTTCATCATTATATGTTGGAACAAAAATTTACTCAAGACCTAACACTCAAGACCAAGATGCCGGACACCGGAACGAAGTAAGTGTACCAGGCCGGGGTTAGGATATAATTTTATTCTAATTTACCTAGTTCTAGTTATATTACAAGTTCGGGGGCTAGCCAAGTGACTCCCGTAGTATCTGTACCTGAAATTATGGCCTAACCCTAACCTGGTACACTACGTTTCGATGTCTGCAATCATGGTTCACATACTACATGACTACCACCCTAACAGTGAAAATGGTTATTTCCGAAAAGGGTGATTGTATTGCTATCCTGCGTAAGCGGATTCGATAAAACAGCTAAACCATGGCGAACTGTGGTGTCTCGTCTCAGTAAGTTATTCCTTTCAGATGTATGGACTGAGGGTGGAACGTGCACTGACCAGCAGTTAGATGAACCCCCTACATCCTCTACACAAAATAGTGTCCACAGGATTTAAATACCGGTATGTTAAACTTAGGGTAATCAGAAGATCAGAGGTAAAAGCAAAGAACCAAGCCAAGTCGGACTCATAAAATAATCAGACCGGTATACGGAATACTAAAGCAGATAAACTCATTTATATTATTATAACTATATAAATAAATTAATATAATATCCCTCAGTCAAAAACAATTTGAAAAAATTTTTCAACTCCATGAAACTGTCAAACCATTCTCTTACATATTTTTTCTTTTTCAACTTCTCCTCAGCAGGTGTCTCTGTCTCTTCTTCAGACTTTTCCTCTTCCTCTTCAGACTTTGTTGGCTCTGGTTTCATTGCCATGTCTCTACTATCTCGAGCTAGTTTTTTATAAGCTTCAATAGAAATTGCCACAAACAAATTCATCACGATCATGTTGATGAAGAGATAACAGGTAACAAAATAAAACGATGATGCCCAACCTGTTAATAATCGAAGCTCGATCAATTTATCATTTTTTTAAGAAAAATAGCTCAACGTAAGATCATGTACACACACACAGAAATAGATACTCCTGAAGTATGTGAACCAAGATGCCGGACACCGGAACGTAGTATGTGTACAAGGTTGGGGGTTAGGTCATAATTTCAGGTACAAATACTACGGGAGTCACTTGGCTAGTCCCCGAACTTTTAATAGAACTGAAATAAGGGAAATTGGAATAAAATTATGGTCTAAGCCTAACCTGGTACACATATTATGTTCCGGTGTCCGCCATCTTGGTTCACATACTTTGGGAGTACCCAGAAGTAAGTGGACTCATCTCTGAGCAAAGTTAAAAGCGACTAATAAAATAACATAGCTATGTGCCAGTATATCGATTGACATAAAAAAAATTGGAGATCGAGTCAATTCAATCCGAAAACAGCTAGTGAATTCAACAAAATTGAAATTTTGGCAGAAAATTATTCTGTCTGGGGGTAAACTGGTCCTACACTGAGGTCCGATTTGTACTACTTATTGGGAAAGCAAAATGACCATAAATTGTGCATTTTTTTATATTTAATCTACAGAAATGAAAATAAAAAACTAGCATCTACTAAACAAACCAGCATCAATCATAGCTCCCAACATAATTTGATGCCAATCATTGGTTGTTACGATTTGAAACACCACCATCATTGCACATCCAAATGTTTCAAATCCCACGCCACAACCATATTGCACATAGCTTCCTTCAAATCCACTCTGCTTACTTTTTTCTAGAGTTCTGGTAAAAATTTAAAAAAAGGAAATCAGATTCAGATATTTATTTTCATTGTGCAAGAACCAATAGCCTATGTGATGTAAACAATACATAAGTTAAAAAAAAGCTTGAAAAAGCAGCCCTTGGCATGCAAGGAGCTTCTATATTTGAAAAAGACCAAAATCTTTCTGGTTCAGCATTGTTTACCCATTTATTACACCCTTGGTGAGATGGTAGGCATCGGTTTGCACCCGAAAATTTTCCCAAGTGATGACAACATAGTAAAGTGCAATACTCTTATCACTAGGCAATCGCCATTTCAGAAACTATTGCACTTGATCAAAACCAGATAATCTGTATTCAATTTTCTTTGTAGTGATGCCTTCTAAAAATTATATAATTGATAAGAAACAAAGTCAGAAATCTCACTGGTCTTGAAATATTTCCAATCCCAAGATAGCATAGAAGTAAATAATGATGATGACAAGTAATATCAGATCGAACATAACAGGATAAATACTGCGAAGAATATATATTGCTGATCGAGCTTGTTCCGAGTTAAACAACAGTCGAGCAAGAACAGCCAATGATGAAGCGACAATACAAGCTCCGAGGTATATCCTCACTTCAGAACGTGGGAATGTGTACCATAAAATGTACCTAGAAATAATTACATAAGAATTTATTTAGATATATCTTATTTTCATGTGAATTTATACTCGATTTCTCAAGTTGTTTCATACTTTTACTAACAAGAATTTTTTACACAAGCAGAGGCTTATCATTAAGAATTATTTATCCTGGAGAGGCGTCGGAAGGCAGAAACAACAAAGAACCAATTTATAAAATAAAGAAATTCAGTTCCATTTTTTTCTTTTATTAAACGGAAATTCAATAATTAAAATATCTCTTTATTGGATGTTATTACATGCTTACATCAATTAATCAAATTCTTATACATATTGAGATACTTTGGTTTAGAAAAAACAGTCAATCCTGAAAATAGCAAAGTACCGTACTCACCATAGCACATTTCCTGTGACAGCAACGAAAACCATAAACATATCTAAGAGATCGAGCATATTAAGTAATTTTGTTCCATCTGATATCATTCTCAATAATATTTCAAGAATAAACATGAATAAAATTACAGAGCGGAATATTTGAATTCCTTCTTGTGCAAAACCTGTAATGCCATTCCACATCAAACAAAAAAGAACACTGAAAAATAAAAGATGATAACAATTAAAATAAATTAATTAATAGATTGTTACTTCATCAAAACTAGGAGGTCCAAAAAAAATTTACACCTGACTATGACTCAAAACTTCGACTTTTCATAAAAATGACTCTGCCTCCAAATCCAGCCCCGAACTCTGAGAAAACCTTATACCCTTCAACTCTGAGAAACTTCAATAACAAAACCTATTGTGTATGCACACTTTCTTTAATTGTGGGTGGACAAATTTGTGTTCTATTAAAAATTTGACTCTTATCATCACCATCAAAGGCAAATTCAAAAATTAATAACTATGTGATATATGTAAAGAATTTATGCCAAATAATTTATTCAAATCTTCAAATAAAATATGTATTGAACAAATAAAAAATACTTTTCACATATACTTTTCATTCAAATATTACAGATAATAAAAATACTAAATTTAATAATCCAACATTAACTTCTCTACCTGTGCAGCAAAATAAGCATCAATATAGCAATCCCGATTCTGTTTGCCTGCGATAAAACAAATTTCATTTTATTAGCAAGAAAACATTGAGATGACATAACAAGAAAGTTACTATTATAAAATTCAGGTAGAGATGTTAGATCATATACCAACAGTTTAACCTCAGCAAAAGTTGCTATTATTTTCATGTAACAAGTAGTACTATAACAAATTTCTAATAAAAATCGGAAGACCTGATATTATAGTATTAAATTCAAATATATGCTTAATAATCGATATATGAGTTCCGGACAATTATCGTATTTAATTAAAAGAAAAAGTTGAAAAATATCAAGATTTACGAAGGGGGGAAAAAGAAAAAATTTAGAATGCAAACACTACAACTATACCTGTACTCCTGTAGTAGCTGAAGCATTAGGTGCAGTATTACGCAAGCTAGATTATTTTAAGATGTAGATTTGCCTAATAGATTGGAATCTTTAAAAAAGGTGGCTATTCGGGAAGTGCAAGTGCCACATGACGTGGCTGTGACCAGATGAGGATTCATATAAGATTGAACAAAAAAGGATACACAATTTCCATGCAGGGTGATGATGGCATGAAAAGTTCTAAAATAGGCAAATGGAGGAATTTATCAAATAAGGTTGGGCTAGCTAAATTAGTTGACTGTTCCTGCCCATGCTCTCAACCTATTTTATCATGTTTCCCTATTTTATTAGTTTATAGCTATACCTTAATTTCATAACTACAGTTTAATTCTACAGTATCATACATGTATAATTTTTCTTGTGAACTGTTGTATACTTGTCCACTTGGATGGTGTTTGATTGTGTGAATCAGTTTCTTTATCTTCATCTTCAGTTTCAGGTTCAAATTCAAATCTCAAAGCATCAACGAGTCTTGTCGTCCAATCATATGATTCGATTATATAATCCTCAATACTGTCGCTAATGTATTCCAATAATTCCAAGTTTTCATCTTCTGAGTTCTGTATAAAAAAGTACATAGCTAAGATGAAAAGAGGTTGACAAGGCAAAAAAGAAGTGAATACTATGGTGATTTGAATTACCGGTAACTATTATTTCATCATGCTAGTGCAAGTTGTTAGGAATTAAAAGTTGGAAATAAAGTCACGTTCATTTATCAGTTCTAGAACTCCAGCCAGAGCTAGCGAGCTGGTTAGAAATCACAATGACTTCTGCTCCAGCTCAGGGGCTTCAATTTTTGTACCTCAGCACTTGGTTTCAACCATTGATGTTTTTGGTATGACCATACATCAGCCGGAGTTTCAAAATTCTTAGTAAAAGTTTCAACTTCAACACAAATGGAAAGATTTTAATATTTCTATATGATATTAGAAAATTATAAATGTGAAAAAAGTATTAGAAGGTAAAAAGCTGAAGCCAATAAAATTTTTGGTAACTCTGGCTCCATCTATTATGGTAAGCTTGGTTATAACAAAATTTCACCGCTTCGTGCTACTCCAGTCAAAACTTCAACACAAATGGAATGATTTTAATATTTGTATATGATATTAGAAAATTATAAATGTGAAAAAAGGATTAGAAGGTCAAGAGCAGAAGCCAATAAAATTTTAGGTAACTCTGGCTCCATCTATTATGAAAAGCTTGGTTCCAACAAAATTTCACAGCTCTGTGCTACTCCAGTCAGAACTGATGTCATCATCATCAACTGAATTTGCTATTTTCAATTATTACCAGGTTAAAATTTGGTGCTTTATTTCACATGGAGATGTTCATATACCGTAACTAAATAGTTTGCAATTACCCATATCAGTGTTTTTACTTTCAAAATGTTTAATTTTTTTTTAAATCTTTCAAGTTTTAATTTGCATTTTTGAATGGTTTCTCATCATCACTACTTAAACCCAATGTTCTAGTCAAGCAACTAGGAAATAACTAATATTTAAATTCAGAAAATATTTCAAATTACTTTTGGTCTGAGAATTTTAAAGAGTTTCAGCAACTTGGGATCATCAACACTGAGAAATCCACTTCCGTTCAAATCAAGAAGATTCCATGCTTTTATGAGTTCTTCTCTCTGTCGTCTGAAATAAAGATAATTTACATTGGTACAGCATGAAGTTAACAATTCCACGATACATGCATACTCGAGATGTGTTACCTATTTAGAGTTGACATAAATAGCTTGATCATTGTCTTTTCTGAACAAACTAGAAATCAAATAGTCTTTTAAAAACAAACCTGTTATAAGACAATTCATTTTGGTGCAGATGTTGCATATGCCCCAAAAGTTAGGGAAAATAATAACCAATGCAAAAACAGTATCAAGCGTAATCTTAACAAATACCTACTTAATGAGAGTTTGTAATTGGTATTTAGGGAAGTCTTCAATTGCGGAATTAATGTATAGATAACCTTTATTAAAAATAAGTTACCATACTTGCCCTTCTTTGATGAAGTAATCGAATAAATTCACTTGAATAATCTTATTAATCACAAGAGCAAAAATATAAATAATTTATATTATTATATCCACCACTTTCTCAATGAAAAAAAGTTATATGAATGCAGGATGAAAAGCATGCGACAAAAATCTATCAAAACAGAAACTAACAATCGTTCCAACTTGACATGCTTCTTGCTATATTCCCAGTAACTTTCAACGATGATTGCCAACAAAATAGCAGTGAGGAAGAAGACTCCAGCATATAGATAAAACATGAAATAAAAGAAATTTGCCACGCTCACATCATAAGCAGGGATGATGACATCCTGAAAAAAATTTTGAAAATGTGAAAATATTCAATATTACCGGTAATCAAAACTACTATTTCAATGATATAAAAACGCATATGCTTCAAAACATTTATTTCAAAAGATACATGAAGTAAATATTTCAAGCAGTAATATCAGGATCAGGCTTAACTAATGCAAGGCCAGCTGTGCGCAAGGCTCTGTTTAGGTAGAGGTAAGGATAAGAAATGAAGATTTTGTCAACAAAGCTGAATTCGTCTTTACATTTTATTGCTTTTCAACCAAGTCCAAAATCTTTACTTATGTATACAAGATAAATACGTTGATATGTACATGATAATTTATGATGGTTGCACTTGATAATAAACACCTAGCATTAGCGCATGGCCCATAGATGGGTGGGTCCCATTGTGGTCTCACAGGTTGCATTGGACTAAGGCTGGCCTAAGGTAGTATTATATTGTGAAACATGGTTAAATGTAAATTTGTCATTTACTCATGTAACGGTCATTTAAATCACCAAGACAATAAAAAACAACATCAAAAATTTGGCTTGTAATTCACCAAATGCAATACTATTTTACAGAATTCAGGTTTTATTTTGTCAAATATTGTTGTATAAGTTTGCAGTTCTATTGAGACATCAAGCGTAAAATTCCAGAAAAAATTTTCTGCACAACTGTGGAATAGTAAATCTTTGCTAATATATGATTATTCACAATTTTTATACGAATAAAAAAATAATATCATGAATCAAACTTAATAAATAATAATATAAGGTTATTTAAAGTCCAAGGCGGTTCACGGAAATCAAAATGTAGGCCCTCAGAATGGATTGGCCTGCAAGTGGATAAATACTCACCGGATAATTTTCTGTAGACATCAGAACAAACATGTGGAGACTTGCAATGGCAACGTGGTCAAAAGCTCTGAATTAAAAGCCCAAATTGACGTAATTTGCCCATGAATAGACATGAGTAATCGAAAACATAATTCAAAGAATATAAAATTTGGAAAACAGAGGTTGCCAAACTTCTCAGATATGTTCTCCTCCATATTGACACAGTTATATAATAGATGACTATGATGGATTAAATAGTGCCAAGCACACTGGACAAATATTATTTTAAATCATAATGAAATTGACAAGCACGTAGTGACCAGCTTCATATAATGACTAGCAACTGTCTATATTTGTTGGCTACTGATTTTCTTCACGAGTAAAGCTAGGATTTCAATCTGACATACCGGTAATTGACAGTATTATAAAAAAAATCTTGGTAATTTAATTTTGTGATGTGTGATATTTATATAATTATCATCATTAGCTTTTGAAATGACTAACTAATGGCTTAAATGCTTATTTATGAAATTTGATTCATCATTTTATCTTTTGAATGACAAAGAAATGAAATAAATTTGCTATTTATCAACAGTGAATAATATTTGAACAACATAAATAAAGCTACATAGTTTCAATAGAAGCCAATAATGACCATAGGGGGTCTTTCGAGATTTAACTTTAGGGCTTAGTTCATGACAATAAAAGAATTTCGCTTACCCTGAGTAAACGTTGGTGCAATTCCAACTGAGAAGAACAAAAAGGAATAGCATTTAAAAACAGAACAAAAACGTAGACACAAGTAGGTAAATATTAACATTAACGTTTGTGATGTGAAGGCGTAGGCGATCGATAATTTGTCGAATAAGGACGTCTTATTTTTAACAAAGATTTAGATCATAATGAAATAATCTTGTCATCTTACCTTGGTAACCACACTTAAGTGAGGTCAATCGCAATTCGCAAACTTATAAAATAAATCACAGAAAGTCAAAGTACAATGATATTCATTCTTGTTTCAAGTAATATTCCTTGATTTACTGGAAACTCGTAAAAAGTTGTATTTCACTATTAAACAAACATAGTAGAACAACAATAAAGCGAGGATTTTGCTAGAATTCAAGTCATCAAAACATCAGAAACATTGAAATAATGGGAAATAATAAAATGACTCAGAAATAATAAACATTACAAATTACAAAAAAAATCAATTTCACATGCAAACTCTAAAAGATCTCCAAAAATATTGATAATTGTGAAAAAAGCAAATACAAGAATTTAATCGCATACTATGTTTGTCATTACCTTGCTGTAAAGTGTTATTGAGATAGTTAAATAATCTTTGCCTATGAATTTAAAACCTATAGTAAACAACTTCTAGTGTGTTGTTATCAATGAAGTACAGAAGCAAACAATGACATTTAACATGAGGAATAGTTCAAATATTGCCGCTGTTATCTGTACCAATAGTAAGGTTTACCACATCCACTCAATGTTTTAACATTTTTAAAACAAAACAAATGTGGAAAGATAAACAGACTACATAGTGCTACGTGAATGAATGAATATCCATTTTGCTTTATCAATAACAATATCTCAGTTAGACAGGAAATACAAACTACTATTTATTATTATATATAAATAATATTTTTGAATGTACAACATCTGATCTTTTTGATCATTGTGTGTGTCAAAGGCTTTGTCATAATTTCCAAATGCAAATCATCCTAAATTGTTCCAAAAAAAAAATATTTCTATATCACATTATAACCAATTCAATTCGTATTTGAATACTCAAATTGTGTGAGCCAACCCTGTAAAAAAAAACAAATACCTAAACAAACACGCATCTTACCAGTTAGAAATATCTAGGTTTATAGGAAGAACTGTTAAAGCCACAACTGAAGTATGATTCATAATGAGGCATTGAATATCAGATACTACACCACAATACAAGGAAATCAATGATTGAAAAATATATTTGTGAGTTGTGACAGATATTTAATAACAAAAAATCCAAACTTACGCTGTTGTCTCATTTGTACAAACTTCTGGAATTTCATGATAATCATCCATATAAAGATGAAGACCAATTGATGCAAATGTAAAGATGAAAATGAAGATGATGGAAAATACCTAGAAAACAAGTTGTCAATTTACAACTATATCAACCAGAATTATTCCTTACTTAAACTTACCTTGCCTAGCTTTGCTGTGATGCTGACAAGAACTTTAAAAATATGAGCAACGTTTTGTGATTTACATAACAACATAGCAGCTCTCAAACAACGAAAAGGTGCAATCAATCTCTGGAAATAAACATTTTCTTTAGATGATTTTGATAAAGATTATTTTATTTAGAAGAATGTTTCTATCAGTTATAAAAAACATTGCACAACATTTTTAAAATACATCTCTATATTGTAGACCGAAGAAGAAACAGAAGAATAAAGTAACAAAATGCTGATGGCATATTAGTGGGAAGGTAAAACATACTTTTCGAACTAGACATTCTGGGTCACGGACCATGAAGTGGCATATGGTGGACTGAGTTATGAGTTTGCTTCTCAGTCACCTTAAGATTTGTTTAATAATAATATACAAATACACATAGATTTATAGGATAATTGGGCATAAGTAAGGTTCTGCATGGCTAATAATTTCTCGGTATAAGTCGCTATTATGGTGAATATTATCTTATAATAAATGTGGTTCAAAAGTCCGTGAGACAAAAAGTCTGTAGACCATGGGGAGCTGGGAACGATATGCTACGAATGATTTAAGTTAATAATTTTAAAAAATATTTGCAAAGGAAGTTATGATTTTATTCAAATATTATTATCAAGAATTCAAATCATTAAAATTACTGTTTTTAATGTTAAATTGTTCATTTCCAAACACACATCACTTATAACCTCACTGCAAAATATATTAAGAGCTACCCCTTCAATTATTTCATCTATTTGTATATGGTACAATGCTATCATCAGGTACCTCAGGGAACATCGCATTGATACATTGCAAGTAGTACATTAACTATTTTGAAATCAACCAACACAGGATGCGCATTCACATATCAAGTTAAAAGAGTCCAAGTTCCAATTGTAAACATGTTCCCAATGGTCAAGAGAAATAGGGTAGGCCTATATGAAATTTACATATAGAAAACTAATATACTATAAGTTAAATTAGTCTGAGACTAATGTCAAAGTGTATATATACTACAGTACTTACAATGACCAATATCTTTTCCAATACTAAGATGATATAATCTATTATGAACATCCCAGTCAAGGTGAATTCCACCCTAATGAAGCATAACCATGCATGTTAGGTGTTAGTCAAAGAAGGAAAGTTTCAGCAGCAGTAAAGCATTTGTTAAACATACAAATAAAATGAGGCAATGAAAATTAAAATGTAGTAAATGTAATAAAGTAAGCAAACACATGCATTTATTACAAAAATCACAACACAACTGATAGCATTTATCCTTCCACTTTCAAAATTATACCGCACGAAGCTAAAAAAGCACACTATTAATACAAAATAGGTTATAGTATAGTATTTTTAACGCTACAATATAACGCACAAGCTTTCCAGGTACACAAATGAATAAATTTGCTTTCAAAAATGAGAATGAAAACTCCAGGAAACATATTCACCATTCACTGCACGTCTATTGCTACTGTTAATATAAGCGAATGTTAGATGCAGATAATATAAACAATGTAAAGAAAATACCTTAACCAAAAATTTTCTTTAGCTTTCCAGAAATGTCTCCATGAAATAAATACGATTGATAAAGTTATATCGATTACATATACCGTCATACATAAAGCATCGATTACAAGGACAAATATTGGCATATCCCAACTATTACTCCTGTAAAAGTAAGCAAGAATTTTAGTAATAATTGAATTGCTATACATTTCTTATCATGTAGGCTACTCTTTGATAAAGACTTTCCATATAAATCCAAACTCTTTTGTTGTTTTGATAACTTAGCCACTGCAATAATATAATTATTGTAATTTTCTATCGTAATATCATTCAGAAATGTATGGCCCATTGATTTTCAACCAGGGTTTCGCGGCACCCTATACCCGCTATTACAGCCCAGAGGTTATGCAAGTTCATATTCAAATCCGAGAGTCTCAACTATCAAATGTATATTTTTATATAATAATATATAATCTTACCTATTAGATTACCTATTAGTTTTCCTGCCATTATTGAACTTTATGAATCATTTTTTTAGCCAGTATTAGGCTGTATTTATATTTGAATTTTATTTTGTTAATAGATGATATTTTTGAATAAGACATATAAATTATTGTACAGTGGTTCCTGAAGCCTATGGAATGTTTCATTGAGATTCCGCTCCACCAGCAAGGTTGAAACCACTGTGATTGACAGCTACCAGTAGCTTCTAATAACATGACATAAGAAAATATTTACCATGTTGCACCAATAGGAGTTGGTGTAGGAGATTGTTCCCAGAATGGCATGAAACAATGTAATGCGATAAATAAGTACAGTAGATATTCCCAATATGGACTGGATATAATCTTGAAGCACCTAAAAAGTTATGAGGTTAGAAAGTGAAATAAGTGCATAAAAATCAAAATTATGACAAGACGGAATTATACCTTAGGGGAGCAACAGAATGTCGACACCCTTTGTAAATATGCAAAGGCATATTCATTGCAGCAATTTTGTAAGCAATTACGGTAGTTCACAAATGACGAATCAATTTTTGTAATTATATGTAAGTTTTTTCTAATTTTTTATTTTAAGAGAAATCAATACATAAGGGAAGGTGAAATATATATTGTGACGCATTTTATTTACATACAATGTAATTTCGATCAAAGTGCCTCTCAAACCATGTACGCCATTTGCTTGTTTGCTTTACTCTATATATAAAGATACAGATTCAAATATAGCAAATTTCTCTCAGCATATGTGTTCTGTATATATTGTGTTTGATTAAGTGTTGAGAGCTAAGTTTATTTGTGTGCGTTCCACTGAAGTGGGTTAAGATATTTTGTTTACAGACTAACCTCAACAAACACACAGCACTCATATCATATTGTGAGAAAATAATTGAACAATTTCAGAACACATATTGATATGCAGAAAAATACTCCAGTAATAAGAAAAGTAGAATTCATTTTATTAATGTTTTGCTATGTGTTAATTTAAACTTTTATATCCTTATTCATATTCAATTTTGTACAAAAATATCCAAGAAGACGAAATATTGAACAAAAATCGCAGTGCAGTAAGGTATTCAAATTTCTATTACTTTGATCACAATGCAGATTGGTAAAAAATTTTGATTTTTCAAAAAATCTGAACTAACTAATTATCTTATTCTAAATCATTGATAACAAACATGATATTTATAGAACTATAAACAAACATTAGCCTACTTGGACTAAAATTGTTACAAGTCAAAAGGTTCAGAAGACATCAGTTTTTATCACAAAACTGAAGTTTTTTTGTTGAATACTAGGTATGTACTACGGCAAATGTGAATCTATAGTTTTTTGTCAGCTTACTTTTGTACATTTTTTGACTTCATTGCAGCTCTTGCTTTGCCAAACTTTCCTCGTCCGTCCAAAGCATCATCAATATGAGCAGCTGCAAGATGTAACTGAAAATCTTCACCAAATTTAGCAGCACTACTCTAAATAAACAAATGGATCAATTTATCACAAACTCCTTCATATTATGTTTATAAGTTTTCAAACCTTACTCATTTTGGCACAGGGATCTGTGAAAATAGCCCTTCGGACCTCAGAGATCAAAGCTTGTGTGGTTTTCCCTGGTTTAGCATATTCATGGACTGAGTGGACTTCCCTGGTTTAGCATGTTTCAACAGTATTTTGCCCGAACTTTTATCCCAAAACTAATTTAATAGTTAATTAATAATAAAGATGCTTCAAATAAATATTCTGTATCGAGTTATTAATGAAATAGTCAATCACTTAGAAAGTAATAAAAGGGTTGTGAAAAATATTAGGCAAACTTCAGAGTAAATTTAATGCCTAGAAAATGCCTTTTAAAATTTACTTCAAGCCAAAAATGGTGACAGAATGAACTAAAATAAAGCAGATGATTACTGAAAAATTATTACGACATAGTGAAGAATTTGATGTTCTAGAAAATGATTTTAGGAATTTATTTCACATCATTTATAATCAACTGTGACAGAAATCATGAAACATACTGAAATTAACATCCAGAACTGTGTTCTACTATTCAATACCCCCTTTTCAATATTTATTGAATCACCACATAGGGTCAGAAAAATTTAAAATGGGCACAAATGAAAATAATCGAATGTAATATTTCAAAAACATTATTTGCTAATATAAGTAGCGCGAGGGATCCATAAACTTAATATTTCTTAAAATAACTGAAAGGTTAAATAAATAATCTTACCTGTTCTAAAGCTTCAGGAAGAAATACAAAAGTGGGCAAAACTAGTCCGAAGTACATCATCTTTTTTTTATTGGATTTGCTGATATCAATATCTTTGTTTTTAGTGACAAACTTTGATTTTAACCATGATAAAAATGTTTGTTTTTCTTCATCATCAGCATTGTTTGAATTGTCCCTTTTCTTATTATTATCTGACAAATGACCATTTTTTGGGACTTTGTTGTTTATTTTGATTTTAGGTTTTTTATTTGTTGAAGAAATTTTGTCATGCTCTGTCCAACTTGATGATACTTTTCCATTTTTTTCAGTTCCATCATTAGCAACTTTTCGATTTTTCCTTTTTCCAAGAGGCATGCTAGGCAAGAAACTGTTTTTAGACTTTTCATTATTTCCAAATTTTGTTTCGTCCACTAAACCTTCTTCAATAATTGGCGTCGGAATTCTAGTTGTTCTCGTTTCCTCAAGTTGTATCAAGGAAACTTGACTGTCATTCAAAGTTACGGCCATAAGTTCAAGTGTATAAGTAAAAAACTCATCAAGTTATACAACTGAGTGCATAGCCACTCACTCAAGCAGTAATCTACGATTGATATGTTTAAAAAACACAAAGTTTTAAAAACTTTAATACAGCAATATGTTTCCCAAATGTGCGACTCGAAGGTAGTCTTCTATCTGGACAATCTCATCCTGTGGCAGAGAAAAGTCTAAAAGACAATGACATAACTTCTATTCTAGCTATACTGTCTGGCGGTGTAAGCATTTTAATTTGAAGGACTGTCCCATAGCTGATATGGCTGGGACTAGAAATGGTGAATGGCGTCCTAGAAAAAAGTTATTAAGATAGTCTATATATTATATTTGGAAAATGCATAAACAGCTAGGCTACATTTATTAAACATAGGTTATTTGATAACGATATCGAAAATATTCAGTAGACTACTTTATTTTTTGAAAGAAATACAGAAATATCTGAATATGCTTGAACCCAATAAAACATGTGGTAATCGATGTTAGGGCAGTAATGTCTATCAATATTCACTTCAAAAATGAACTGACCTAATCGATAGAGTCTAACCCTGGGGTGAGAGTGAGTTACCTGCTGCTGCTGCTGCTATTAAAGTATTAATTCAGTAATTGCTGAATTCTGGGATTGTACTCGTACAGTCGTATATTGGCGCGGCGGTGTGGCTCAACGGGCTAAGCGTTAGGAATACGCTCGCCACCGCACCTCTAATTACTCTGCGTGGGTTCGCAGGTTCGAATCCCATGCAGGGATGGTTATGTGCGAGAGGATTGCTGGACTCCTCGCCGTCGTTGGGTGGTTCACGTAACCGCTGGTCGGTTACGGCTTCCTCCACCACCAAGTCCATGCTTCCGAAAACAAACAATACAGTAAAAACTAATCCCATACCCGACTTGGAATGGTAACCGGACGAGAGGCCGTGGTTCGCCATATGGATAAGCCGTCTTATCGGCTTTCCTCTCCCCCGGGATAAATATGTAAATCCTATCCTTTATCTACTGATCTAACTTCTGAATCAGTAATTTACGCACGTTGGTCGAGCAGTCTAATGCTGGGAGTCTGTTTAGCAGGTAACATTGTATAATGGCAGTAAAAATACTTTGCCAAATTTGCCCTATTTCATGTCTTAGTCACAACTTCAATCACCTCACAACAGGTCCACAGCCATTGGCGTACCATGTTACTATTGCTATGCAGCAGGTTCAATTATGCGTCGCTTTGTCGTCATCTTGCGGTCAGGTCATACATACTAATCGCGTGACGTTGATGGGTTAATTATGCCAATCAAGAAGCATTATTTGGCAACAAACCTGTAGTGTCAGTAGGTTCGGTACTTTCAGTTTCAACGGTATCCCTGCAATAATGTTTGATATGTTTTTGGGTTCCCAATCTGATCCGCACTGAATGCCATCGAAACTTTTATACAACCATATAAATCTACGACATTGTTGTACCAGAGCCGTTATATAATGGCTCTGGTTTTACAGCATGAAGGCCACTTCCAACATGAAGGCTATAATGGGTTGGCGAATTAGTACAAAACTTTCCGGTAACTATCAAACAAAGCCTAAGACTCTCAAACAACATGGTTGTGCTAAAAATTAACACCGTATAAGAACTATCCAATATTTACATAAGTTGCCTATCTAGTCAGAGTAAACTAATCGCGCCCAAAAACGTGCTGCGACAAGAAAGAATAACTATACGCAGATAGGAGAATGAATAATAAGAGCGAGATTCAGATTCAAAAATCTATTTACATCGATACGTGGGTAGTTGACATGGGTCGCGGAAGAATCAATAAGTTATCCACTCAGTGACACATTGTAGATGATTTAAAGTGGCAAATTAATGTGTATCAGCAAGTACAGTAAGGCATTTATGATTAGGGCGATGATTTACATATCTATACCAGGGGATGAAAATGGTGATATGATGGTTAAATTATGTGGCGAACTACGATTATTTCGATGGGCGAGTGAGCAGTAATAACGAGCGAGAAGGCTACAATAATTCTTCCTCACGCAAAATACGAGCATGCGAACAAACGCAGGGTAGTTGCCACCAAGTGTGATCCCAACTATTAGTAAAGTGTGTCAAGCATCTTAGTAAGCATTATTGCCTCTAATGACTGTTTCCGTTCAAAACGAATTATTTTCGTCTATTTATAGATAGATAGATTTATTGATTTGTCAACCAAAAACAAATAAATGAAAAGCATACATACAGATATATATCCATTGTCACAATAAATTTAAAAAAAATTTTTTTTTATCCGAACTCAATAATGTCATTCCCGAATTACCGTCTTGTTACCACATTCTGCCGCTACCGTTGTCAAATTAGAATGAAAAAACTAATATTCGTCGTGTAATTGATGAAATTAATAGTTTAAAATCTAATGTCATGTATTATTATTTTACTTAATTATTATAATAAAATCACTAATGTGGATATAAAATAACGTGCATAATAAAACATGAATAAAAACCAAGGATAAAGCGAAATTTAAAAAATCATTTCAGAGTAAAATCGTAATATTTCGCAAACATATGGGTTTGTTTACTGGATGAAAGTTTAAATGGAAAATAAATTGAAATGTGTTTTCTTCGTGTTGGATAAAAGTATTTTATATATATATTTGAAACAATATTTAGCAATAATATAAACTTTGCTTCTTTCTAAACAACAATAAAAAGATTTTGTATGAATGTTGAAATGTTTATAGAACATTCACATACCCCTATACTTTTATTCTTATTTTCATTTCTGTGAATTTCAATGAATATTCATGGTTTTTCCACGCAAACCACTCTACGCCATCTCCATAAGAGTCATGGTGTCCTCCTACAAAGTAATGACCATTAAGATTGGACCTGTGACAAGCACCATACCACCAAGCACCTCTGTAGGCAACTGCGCAATTCCCGAATTCGTTAGTATCAAAATCCCTGTCCTTTGTACTGAATTTGAATCCATTGTGCTCAGTAAACGAATCGCCAGCATTTCCAGAGTATCCACTGACGTTGAGTGTGTAAGATGATTGAGCATTTCCTACTCGGAAGTTTCTAAAAATAGGTAATTGTATTTATGGCCAGTTATCGAGGTCAATTTCAGAATGAAAAAGAGATTTTTTCAATCATATCATCTTGGGCAATATGCTTTACGCATCAAAATATTCCCGCATGTATATATGGAACAGTATAGATATAGAGCAGGGGTCGGCAACCTACGTCCCGCGGGCCGGATCCGCCCCGCGGAGTAATATAATCCGGCCCGCGACGCTTCACTGAATTATGGCTACAACAGAGCTGTTTTGGCGATTGTATTCTTTACGTAACAGAATATATTGTGGGACACGTGTAGAGTATACTAAATTTTATTATAACATAACCGGTATATAATTCACAATTACTCGTTTAATGGAAACAAAACGCAGTTCAAAGGGTTCAATGGCTCAGAAAATATCCAAATGGAATTTTTTGAGTGCAATGCAATGAGGGAATGAGACTATATTCTATTCGATGGATGTATCACTGCCTAATTTTTATTATAAAAAGTATCTTCTTCGTAGAAAACTCTATCCAAATTTGACAAACCATGCGAAAAAGATTCACATCGATGTTTTGAAGTACATATGCATGCAAACAATCATTTTCGAAAATGAACATCAGAAAGAATAAGTTGAGAACTCGGATTAGTGATTCCCATTTATGAAATGTATTATTCTTTGCTTCATTCAGTGTCGCATTTAGAAAAGCGTAATGCAACATGAAGTTTCTCATTAAATGTCATTTGTAAATTTTGTTCTTAAAGTACGTCGACCAAGTTGAATTCACGAGTTGGCGCAGTCTTAGCGCGCTGTTAGAATTCAAGTTCTGATCTATGTAAAAAAAATGTGATTCATCGGCCATCCGTTTGGCTTTTAACTTCCTACAAATATGTGCGGCCGCCAATGACTTGCAACCCTTACTTTTGGCCCACGAGCGACAAAAGGTTGCCGACCCCTGATATAGAGTCTTAAAATATTAATGGCTAAATTTGACGCTATCATTGTATATTTTTTAAGGACCGTTCGAAATAGTCTTAGTAAACGAAATAGGCAACTCAAGAGCATCCAGCATCGCTACAACATCCTTGCATTATCCGCATCCTGACCCACTATCGCGAACGCATTGAGGAAGTAAGAAGATTGAGACTTAGTCTCGCGTAACCTCTACTGAAAGTTAGTAAACAAAGAACTCTTGCATAAATGGACCTGATTTTAAATGTGTAATCATAACGAGAATCACGTGATATTGAACCTTCTTTGCAATAAATCTAACACGGTTCAGTCGTATTATTCACCTATATCTACTGGTTAAGTATCACCTGTTGGTGACTTGCACACAATAAGTAAAAAGCGCGTAGAGCCAACCAAGGATATTGACAGCATGTAGGCTAGTAGAAAAATACTTCTTTTTGATGAACGATAAATATTTCACAGTTATAAGCAAAATATTGATACGCTCAGATTGTTTAATACCGAATGAAGTTTTCCAGTAGAGTTTGGTAATAATATATGACTATAAGTACGAAATGTTTAACTTACGAATACTTCGCATAGCGTTTGTTTCCATCCCAATCGGCCATGTCGATGCGAAGTTCATAGTTTCTACTTGAAGTTAGATTATGCAAGATATCAAGCCCTTAAAAGAGTTTTCAACTTATCAAAATGAAAGAAATACAACATTTCTGTACCTCTCGGGAGTATTGACTCTAATAACCTTTATCGCTAGAATTTCTGTCGCAAGAATAAATAAATACGTATATAATATTTCTGTTATAAAGGTTTTGGTACGACAGTGGAAGTTTGCAACTTTTTATCAGTACACTCCCATATAACTAAATAATGTAAAGCAGAATCTGGTTTATACGTAACATATAATTGTCTGAACCAGTGGCGTAGCAAGACTCTCGCCACAAAACGCCCAAAACCGACTGATCCCTGGCATTGATACGTAACAAAACGATTTGAGAAGAACTAACATCAACGTTATAAGTCATAAGATGTGCATTTCTGGTTTCGCAATGCAGCTTTTGGTTTTGCGGCTTAAATTTCTAAATTATAACCGCTTGGGCCCCTTTTCACTGTGGGCCCTCCCGCGACCGCGGGGGTTGTGGGGGTGGATGCTACGCCACTGGTCTGAACATCATTTCAAAGAGTCATTTCTTCCCCATCAGCATTCACAGAGATTTTAAGGATGATAATAAATCGTATATATAAATCTATTCAAAAGATGACATTGGTCCGAGATGTTACTTTTTGAATTTTTATGATTTATTTATGAAAAAAAAGATTAGTTATTTTTAACTTTCACCGAGCCAATGTTCGCCGGCAGAGTCTCCGAATCCATTCACGTATTCATTCCAAACGCGATAAAAATTGACTTGGCCATTCATGCGACGTTGAAACACCTAGTATAAATTATATAAATAAATTTATCATCGTGGCTTACCGTCATCTTAATATAAAGAGTTTTTCCCATATACCCCCCCAAGCATGAAAATACACATTCTGCGAACTAAACACTTCTTTAAAAATATTTTCAAACATTCTTATGATTTTAGTTCTAGTTGCTATCAAAATTATATTGAATGTATACCAGCCATCCACCACATTCGGTTGTTAGATCACAATAAACTTCTATTTTATTGAACTCTGGATAAATGTCAAAAACTCCGCCTGTTCCATTCCATATTTTTGCGTCTTTTGACTGAGCCTCTCCACAAGATGTTGTTTTTATTTGGTTTTCTAAAATACGGTGAATATTTTAAGGAAAGGCATGTGGTAATATTTCTATGCAGTGTTTCACGCTTCGATTGAGACTGTACACAATCATTCGTGATATGTACAAAAGTACTGATTTTAAGAAGACCCACATTTGTAAGATTCTGTGTTTAATCTACGCATTGTTTTTAACACTTTATATATTTTTACATCTCAGAGTCAATTCCTAAACCCCATTTTAGTATGAACCGTTTACAAGTGTTATGACCACGATATCTCGAATTCCGTCTTCAAACCTAATGCAAAAGGGACCAAGTTTAAAACTGACTTCAAAGTCAATAACATTAAATTTTGGGTAAAATATGCTAATGAATTATAAGGTTACATTAGAATTCAAAGACGAGTACAATAATGATTATAGTTTTTGTTTGCTTCCGGGAGGTTAAAGGTTACCTTTAGTTTTTGCAGCTTCTACTTTCTTTCGTAGGTGTGAAATAATTTCTATAATAAAAATTTGCTAATTTTATATATCAAGCACTCACACAATTATTCAGAATTGGCGAGTTGTTGCTTGCATTAAAAAGACATATAAACAAATCGAAACATTTCGAAATTCATGATTTGAATTGAAAGTCCAAATATGACACCTAAACTGCGGCCGCACCGGTACAGGAATTCTGGGCTCAGGTTTTGCTTTGTACAAACTAAAGAAAAACAACAGATTGATGAATTTTATTGCAATTCAGTACGTGTTATTCGAAATTTTTGATTATAAATATAAATTAATTTGTCTCTTCTGCTAACTCAAAAAGCTATATATATATATACAGACGAGTAAAAACAAAAAATAACTATAATTCAGATTTACCAAAAAGAATCGTTAAATATGTGGTTCTTTCTATACAAGTTAAATTAATCCTCGTGAAAAATACAATAGTACATTACATGTCATACAGTTCATAACATATGAATTGCCAATTATCGTTGAACTCATCATTTTATAATTTATGTAATACCTTCTGCGTCGGGTTCTTTACAATCACCTTCAGAAACCAATCGTCCATTTCTCCACTTGTGAATACATATACCCTCTGAATATTATATGCAAACATTTAAATATATTTGTTCTCTTCTCCCTCGCGGCTTATTTCTGAGGGATTTGTTAATAAACAATCAGTTTTAAAATCAAAGCTACAAATAATTGCCGACTGGTGTTTACCGGTTACCAAGCGCGAGGTCCACATTTGAGTTTTTAAATATATATATATATATACATGGTGGATTTTAATTACGGAAGAAATTTTAAATTAACAAACTACTTCTTCATATCAATTCACATTTTTATGCTTTATATATACCTGTTATTTCACTTGGTATTATGCACATCAAAACGAAAACAAAGTATATAATTCCGATCCCCATCTTCATTCAAAACTAACGAGAACTCTTGGTGGCTAGTGAATACTGTAAATACACAACGTACATACAAGTAACTGTACATACAAGTAAAAGCAAACTTAAATGGCATTTGCGCGTCTTCTATCAGGAAATGCGTATTTACATTGCGTCATATTTGTTCTCATTCGAACTGGGGTTCAAAAGATTCCAGTTTATATTATATGTATAAATCTAAACTTAAATTATTTGGAGCAATCGTGTTTTTCACTCAATGTTATTTTGATCTCGTGCGCCTCATTTAACCTATTCTGTTCGCTCCACTCTACTAACTTACTGTCTGCGCTAACTCCTTTCCAATATCGCCCTCTCAATTTTTCCCCAGATTAGAATACAATTAAATTTTCATTAGCTGTTTGATTAGGATTCAAAATATAATTTATTATAAAAATAGCAGGTTTGTCCATGGAAACGTCACATGGCATACGTAGATTCTTTTATGAAAAAAATGAATTAAGGAAAAAAAATAATTAGAATCTACGTTAAAATAAAGGTTCATGAACTCTTTGATACATATCCGGCACAGACCCCAACGTGTAGGACAGGGATCAGCAACTTACGGCGACGCTTCATTAAATTATAGTAACAAAACGTCTGTTTTGACGATTATATTATATTCTTTTCGTATCAGAATTTATTGTGAGACCAGGGATGGCCAATACCGAATAGTTCACTATTTCGAATACATTCGAAATTATTATTTTCGAATATGAAATTTCGAATACATTCAAAAATAAATTCAAATAAATAGCATATTTTAGGGCATGAATCAATTGCAAACAAAAAAAATGGAGTAACTGTTATCTACAACCCTCCTATTTACCAGACATTTTATGTCCGCAGATTGCCTGGTATTTTATAGTATTGTATTTCAAATTTCAGTAAGTACAAAACTTCAAATCAGGAATTAATTATGATGGGTAGTTTTCCACACATTTTATGTCCACAGATTACCGTGATATTTTAATAAATATTCGATAGTAATGCTTTTATTTTTTCGTAAGTTGACACAATCACGGGTTATGTTAAACAGAATTAAATTAAAATGGCAAGGCATTTTAACTGCTGGTATCTAAATATTTTGCGCAACAGAAAATGATCCTATTAAACAGTCGATACTTCTAACTATCATTATCAAAATCGGTTGCCAAAAAGCGAAAAAAATGTATAAACAATATATTCTAATAATTCCGACCAATTTATTGGGTGTTGTAACAATTGTGACTTTAAATAATTTTAAATTTTTCTATGTGAAAGAAATCAATGTATAAATTAGAAGCCTTGCAGGATAATAGCGACAATGCCAATCGTGCAACAGTATGAGGCGCACGCTCGCACAGAGTATCACAAACAATTGAAGTGCCGATTCTATTTCATCATGATTACAATACGTTACGCCAAAAATTGTTCGAAGATTTCACTTAGAAGTGAAACACCTCGCTGACGGCGAAGAGTGGCTACTATTCGAAAATCAGCCAAAAAGGAATTCGAATACTCTGATATTCGAATGTTTTCGAATATTCGATTCGTTTTGGACAACCCTGTGTGAGACACGTGTAGACTAAATAATGTTATAACCTGACAAGTATATAACTCACAATTACTCGTTTAATGAGCCTATAATTTAATTATAATTAGACAAATGTCAACAAAACGCAGGGAAGTTAAGTTGATGTTAAGTGCAAATGGTTCAATGGCGCAGGAAATATTCAAAGGGAATATTTTGAAATGCAATGCAATGAGGAAATGAATATATATATTATATGAGAGATATATATCACTGCTCGATTTATATAAAAAGTATCTTCTTGAAGGAAAAACTCTACCCTTATTTGACAAACCATGCGAAAAAATTCACATCGATGTTTGGAAGTTACTCGATTCTCTATCATAAAATGTTTTAATCTTGGCTTCATCCAGCGTCCCATTTAGTGATGTCGAAAACGTATCAAGTGTGATGCAACAAAAAGTGTCACATTTAATGTCATTTGTAAATTCTTTTCTCAAGTAAGACGATTAAGATTAGTTCAAGAGTTGTCGCAGTCTACGCGCGCTGCTTAAACTTCCAACCTCTGAACTATGTGAAAAGATTGTGATTCATCGGCCATCTGTTCGGTTTTTAACTTCTTGTGCCGCCCGCCAAGATTTGCAACCCTTAATTTCAGCCCGCGAGCGACAAAAGATTGCCGATCCCTAGTGTAGGATCTGTGAACAAATAGGACATATAAAAGACGCATGCGAAAATTTCATTCCAAAGTTGGACAGATATAAAGACATAAGTCAAAGACAATCAAATTCAGAACAGAACGAAGTTCGACAGAACAAAACAAAAAGTGAACAAGAAAAATAAACAGGGAAGGTTACTCAACAAGCTGTAAAGAACATTTAGAAAGGTTGACTGGCAAATAAATGAAATAAGTAAAGATTATAGACTTGAGCCTCACACAAGACCAAGCTTACAACCAGAAATGTTTGGTATTATTTCGGATACCAGTGATGGAAATATTGAGATTATTGATTCAAAAAACGAAGAAAAAATAAAGCGAGCGAGTTCAATAGTTCTTCCTCACGCAAAATACTAGCATGCCAACACTAACAGGGTAGTTGTCGACAAGTGTGATCCCAACTCTTAGTACAGTGTGTCAAGCATCTAAAGTAAGCTTTATACATAATTGCCTCGAATGACCAAGTTCCTGTGCCAAAAAAATTATTTTCGTCTATTTATGAAGGCAAATATTTGCATTTGTCTCGAACACAATACTATAATTGTTTATCAAAGTGTATATGCAATTGATATTTATATGTAATACAATACATTTGAAGTTGCTTCGAAATATCAGAAACGCAATTGATTATTCATGCAAATTAGGACACCTGAAGATATAAATATATATATATATTGCATTCACTTAGAAAATTAGAATAAAAAGACTGGAATATTCAGTTTGTATATACTTAATGGAATTTGTTAAATAAAATCTAATGTCATGTATATATATTACACTTAATTATTATATCAAAATTACTAATGTGGATATAAAATAACGTGCATAATAATCATGAATAAAAACCAAGGATAAAGCGAACATTTAAAAAATCATTTCAGAGTAAAATTCGTAATATTTTGCAAACACATGGGTCATCACTAAATGAAAGTTCAATAGGAGGCAGAGTTTAATGGGATAATAAATTAAAATATGTATTCTTCTTTTTGGATAAAAGTATTTTATATATTTGGAACAATAAATAAAATTTTCTTCTTGATAAACAACAAGAAAAATATTGGGTATGAATGTTGAAATGTTTTCAGAATATCCACACCCCCCTATACTTTTATTCTTATTTTCATTTCTGTGAATTTCAATGAATATCGATGGTCTTTCCACGCAAACCACTCTACGCCATCTCCATAAGAGTCATGGTGTCCTCCTACAAAGTAATGACCATTAAGATTGGACCTGTGACACTCATCATACCACCAAGCACCTCTGTAGGTAACTGCGCAATTCTTGGATTCGTCAGTATCAAAATCCCTGTCTTTTGTACTGAATTTGAATCCATTGTGCTCAGTAAACGAATCGCCAGCATTTCCAGAGTATCCACTGACGTTGAGTGTGTAAGATGATTGAGCATTTCCTACTCGGAAGTTTCTAAAAATGGGTAATTGCGGTTATGTCCAGTTATCGAGGTCAATTTGAAAATGAAAAAGAGATTTTTTCAATCATTTCATCTTGGGCAATATGCTTTACAAAATCTTAAAACATCAAATTATCCCTGCATGTATATATAGAACAGTATAGATATAGAGCAGGGGTCGGCAACCTACGGCCCGCGGGCCGGATCCGCCCCGCGGAGTAATATAATCCAGCCCGCGACGCTTCACTGCCCGCGATTATATTCTTTACGTAACAGAATATTGTGGGACACGTGTAGACTAAATTATATCATAAGCTACAGGTATATAATTCACAATTACTCGTTTAATGGAAACAAAACGCAGTTCAAAGGGTTCAGTGGCTCAGAAAATATCCAAATGGAATTTTTTGAGATGCAATGCGATGAGGAAATGAGACTATATTCTATTCGAGTGATGTATCACTGCCTAATTTTTATTATAAAAAGTATCTTCTTCGTAGAAAACTCTATCCATATTTGACAAACCATGCGAAAAAGATTCACATTGATGTTTTGAAGTACATATGGTACACGAAAGTACACGAAAATAAACATTAGAAAGAACAAGTTGAGAACTCGGATTAGTGATTCCCATTTATGAAATGTAATAATCTTTGCTTCATTTAGTGTCCTATTTAGAAAAGCGTAATGCAACATGAAGTTTCTCATTGAATGTCATTTGTAAATTTTGTTCTTAAAGTACGTCGACCAAGTTGAGTTCACGAGTTGGCGCAGTCTTCGCGCGCTGTTAAAATTCAAGTTCTGATCTGTGTAAAAAAAATGTGATTCATCGGCCATCCGTTTGGTTTTTAACTTTCTAAAAATATGTGCGGTCGCCAATGACTTGCAACCCTTACATTTGGCCCACGAGCGACAAAAGGTTGCCGACCCCTGATATAGAGTCTTAAAATATTAATGGCTAAATTTGACGCTATCATTGTATATTTTTTAAGGACCGTTCGAAATAGTCTTAGTAAACGAAATATGCAACTCAAGAGCATCCAGCATCGCTACAACATCCTTGCATTATCCGCATCCTGACCCACTATCGCAAACGCCTTGAGGAAGTAAGAATATTGAGACTTAGTCTCGCGTAACCTCTACTGAAAGTTAGTAAACAAAGAACTCTTGCATAAATGGACCTGATTTTAAATGTGTAATCATAACGAGAATCACGTGATATTGAACCTTCTTTGCAATAAATCTACCACGGTTCGGTCGTATTATTTACCTATATCTACTGGTTAAGTATCACCTGTTGGTGACTTGCACACAATAAGTAAAAAGCGCGTAGAACCAACCAAGGATATTGACAGCGTGTAGGCTAGTAGAAAAATACTTCTTTTTGATGAACGATAGATATTTAATAGTTATGAGCAAAATATTGATTCGATCAGATTGTTTAATACCGAATTAAGTTTTCCAGTAGAGTTTGGTAATAATTTATGACTATAAGTACGAAATGTTCAACTTACGAATACTTCGCATAGCGTTTGTTTCCATCCCAATCGGCCATGTCGATGCGAAGTTCATAGTTTCTACTTGAAGTTAGATTATGCAAGATATCAAGCCCTTAAAAGAGTTTTCAACTTATCAAAATGAAAGAAATACAACATTTCTGTACCTCTCGGGAGTATTGACTCTAATAACCTTTATCGCTAGAATTTTTGTCGCAAGAATAAAATATAAATACGTATATAATATTTCTGTTATAAAGGTCTTGGTCCGACAGTGGAAATTTGCAACTTTTTATCAGTACACTCCCATATAACTAAATAATGTAAAGCAGAATCTGATTTATACGTAAAATATAATTGTCTGATCAACATTTCAAAGAGTCATTTCTTTCCCATCAGCATTCACAGAGATTTTAAGAATGATAATAAATCGTATATATAAATCTATTCAAAAGATGATATTGGTCCGAGATGTTACTTTTTGAATTTTTATGATTTATTTATGAAAAAAAAAAAGATTAGTTATTTTTAACTCTCACCGAGCCAATGTTCGCCGGCAGAGTCTCCGAATCCATTCACGTATTCATTCCAAACGCGATAAAAATTGACCTGACCATTCATGCGACGTTGAAACACCTAGTATAAATTATATAAAAAAAAAATTATCATCGTGGCTAACCGTGATCCTAATATAAAGAGTTTTTCTTATATACTCCACAAAGCATGAAAATACACATACTGCGAACTAAACACTTCTTTAAAAATATTTTCAAAACATTCTCATGATTTTAGTTATAGTTGCTATCAAAATGATATTGAATGTATACCAGCCATCCACCACATTCGGTTGTTAGATCACAATAAACTTCTATTTTATTGAACTCTGGATAAATGTCAAAAACTCCGCCTGTTCCATTCCATATTTTTGCGTCTTTTGACTGAGCCTCTCCACAAGATGTTGTTTTTACTTGGTTTTCTGAAATACGGTGACAATTTTAAGGAAGGGCATGTGGTAATATTTCTATGCAGTGTTTCACGCTTCGATTGAGACTGTACACAATCATCCGTGATATGTACAAAAGTACTGATTTTAAGAAGACCCACATCTGTAAGATTCTGTGTTTAATCTACGCTTTGTTTTTAACACTTTATATATTTTAACATCTCAGAGTCAATTCCTAAAAACCATTTTAGTATGAACCGTTCACAAATGTTATGACCACGATATCTCGAATTCCGTCTTCAAACTTAATGCAAAGGGACCAAGTTTAAAACTGACTCCAAAGTCAATGACATTAAATTTTGGGTAAAATATGCTAATGAATTATTAGGGTTACATTAGAATTCAAAGACAAGTACAATAATGATTTTAGTTTTTGTTTGCTTCCGGGAGGTTAAAGGTTACCTTTAGTATTTGCAGCTTCTACTCTCTTTCGTAGGTGTGAAATAATTTCTATAATAAAATTGTGCAAATGTTACATATCAAGCAGTCACACAATTATTCAGAATTGGCGAGTTGTTGCTTGCATTAAAAAGACAAATAAACAAACCGAAACATTTCGAAATTCATGATGTGAATTTTAAATCCAAATATTACATCTGAACTGCGGCCTTACCGGTACAGGAATTCTGGGCTCAAGTTTTGCTTTTCACAAACCAAAGAAAAACAGTAGATTGATGAATTTTATTACAATTCAGTACATGTTAATCAAAAATTTTGATTATGAATAGAGATTAATTGGTCTCTTTTTCCAACTCAAAAAGCTATATATATATAGACGTGTAAAAACCAAAAACTACCTAATTGAGATTTACAAAAAAGCATCGCTAAATATCTGGTTCGTTCTATATACATGTTAAATTTATGACCGTGAAAAATACAATAGTACATTACATGTCATACAGTTCATAACATATGAAATGCCAATTATCGTTGAACTCATCATTCTATAATTTATGTAATACCTTCCGCGTTGGGTTCTTTACAATCACCTTCAGAAACCAATCGTCCATTTCTCCACTTGTGAATACATATACCCTCTGAATATTATATGCAAACATTTAAATATATTTGTCTTATTTTTCCTCGCGACTTATTTGTAAGGGATTTGTTAATAAACCAACAGTTTTAAAGCAATTGTTCAAACCAGCCTCTTTATACGTTTTGTGCAAAAGTAAGAATGTTTTCTTCGCATTAGATCATATAGTTCAGCGTAAAATGCTACAAATAATTGTCGATGGGTGTTTAACGGTTACCAGACGCGAGGTCCACATTTGAGTTTTTAATTATATTTAGACAGGGTGGCAATCTTCGATTTTAATTACTGCACTATAATCTGAATACCTTGAATAAAAAATTAGCACTTTTTGGTGAAGCAGCAGTAGGCCCACTGTTATAGTTGTAAATAAATCGACAAAAATGGATAAATTGTCCAAATAAGGATACTGAAAAAATTTCTGATTAACAAAGCACTTCTTTATATCATTTCACATTTTTATGCATTATATATACTACCTGTTATTTCACTTGATATTATGTGCAGCAAAACGAAAGCAAGGTATATAAATACGATTCCTATCTTCATTAAAAACAACGACAACTACTGCTGCCTGGTGAATACTGTAAATACGCACAGTCAGTGTTCCCTCTAAGGTGTGCGCGTGTGCGCGCGCACACAGCTTTCAGAGGCTGCGCACACGCATAGATTTACTGCGCACAGACGTATTCCGATGTAATGTAACAATGTTCTCGATTGGCAGGTTGAGAAATTTGTTGTTGGCCCACCCATTACCCGGTTAGATCGCCAAAATTTCTTTATCGGTTTTCGCACAAATATTAGTCATTTCCAAAAAAGTGCGCACACACCAAAATTTCTGCGCACACATATTACAAAAAATTAGAGGGAACATTGCACACAGTACATACAAAATGTAAAAAGTAAACTGAAATGGCATTTTTTATCAGGAAGTGCGTAATTAATTTACGTCATGTTTGTTCTCATCCGAACTGGGGTAAGTGTAATATCCATTAACAATTATCACAATCAACAGTAAATAAACAACTTTTACAAACACTTTCATGTTTTTTAACTGTTATATATAGCCGATATATATATTGGCCGTTTACTGCCGATATCATATATGAATATCGGCAAACACGCAATATCGGGCCGATATCGCGGTTGAGCTCTAATTCTAAGGAAGTGTGACAATAAGGATTCATGCCTCTAGTCTCAACGTGAATCGAAATACCAAAAGATACAAGACACAGCTGTAGGTTGAAATTTTACCGGTACCTTGTTGTCTACCTCAGGGTGGTTCAAGGTTGCTAGGTTGAAGGACCGCAAAAAGTTTTGAGGAGGTCTCCCGGACCGCAAGTCGGATAAAACCCAAAAGTGATCGGAATATCGCGAGTTTACTTACTTTAAATTTAATGAACAACGTGAGTTTACCGTTCTAATCAGACTACTATTATGTTGCATGGGTGGCGTTATTTTGAAGGAGATATATCAAGCCTTCAGTTATTTTAAAGTTAATTCCCGAGAATTACCGTTGTATTTTGCGCATCTCGCTTCAAATTATATTCTTTCGTGACAGATAGTACTTGAAATCAAACCAGACACTGTGTGATGGGCAAGGTAATACGTTTCCGGCGTGATTTCCTCGCGTCACCTTTCTTGCGAAACTCATTTTATTACGAATTAATGTATTGAGTATTTTAAAAACTTGCAGCGTGAGCAAGCTTAGTGCCATCGTCAAATACCAACCAAGTCCGTCTAAGTTGGTATTTCGGGACCTAGCTAAAAAAAAACTAGATTGCGCGGCGTTAAGTCGGCTCTGCGTTTCGTCACTACTGTCACATGGCCGACGCTTGAAAACAGAGGAGTGTTTTTACTAAAATAAAGGCACAAAGCGTCAGAAAAAGGGTTTGAATCTCGGAATCCAAACCCCAGTTGGAATACCTGAAAAAATTCAAAAACGTTCCTCCATTAGATACAAATATACGCTAAAATTGTTCTGTGAGCCGAACGGAATGTATCAGCATGACATGGTTTGGAGTCTACCTTATCAAAAAACTCCCGACTTCGCTGACCACTATATCGTTGAAATGCGATCGGGGAACCGCCACATAGTGTAAATAGTTCATTGGTCCAATTGTTGAAGCCAAAAAAAAAATTTTTAAAACAAGAATGCAGCAACAAGGAGAATACTAGAAAACAAAAATTTAGGAAAACGACTCATAGGCCCATTTCTTGTACAAAAAAGTTTCAATGTATATTTTTAATAAAGAAGGTTAATATGATACTTGAAGACAAAAAATACACAAACATTTTGAAGTTGGTGACCCCTGATCTGGAGCAATTGTGTTTATAACTCATTGTTAGATGCCTATTTTGCGAGTGTTTTGAAGAATTGACACTTACAAACTGATTTACATGCTCAATACCATTATTTTTATTAAAATATACAACCGTGTGCCGCTTACGCGCACTGATAGTTTAACCGGGATGAATTTCTGATTATTGCAATATATATACTAAAATTCATCGGAAGACATGATGACAATTAAAATACTTCATTTACAACTAATGTTTGGAAACATAACTGAAGACACGCAAAACCGCGAAAACGAGGCAATGTTTAAAACCATACTTTTAACTTTAACGAACTAAAAGTATTAAATATCTAGGGGTTACAATAGATGACGAATTGAGCTGAATTGTACAAGAAATTGTCTCAAACTGTTGGAATATTTTACAGACTAAGGTATATTTTGAAACTCAAAACACTCAAATTAGTCTACTATAGTTTATTCAACTCTCAATTACAGTACTATGGTATACTTTGCTGGGGGTCGGCAAATAAGTCTTTATTCCGCCAATACAAGTTTTGCAAAATAAAGTTTTATGGTGTATGGCATTTGCAAAAAGAACTCGCATAACCAATTTCCAGCTGTATCGACAGTTCAATATTTTACAGCTGTGTGAAATACATACAGAGTTTACAAAAAATATCTCGGAAATATAGCGGTGTTCTGGTCTGGGGCAGTGTACCACCCGAAATCAATATATGTTCAGCACATGCTTTCAACAAAAATATGAAAAAGTTCATGTTGTCCAAGTACCCTGATTCGTATAATACTGTTTAAAGTGATTAACTGCATTATTAATTGCATATTTACCTGTGGATCATACATTAATATCGCATTTCTCAAGTGTATAAATACTTATGAATAATGGTAGCCAATATACAGTATTCAGTAATTGTCACTGTTTTTTCCATGCTTGTATTTCGTAAATTAATATAATAACCTTTTTATATTGTTAAAATTCATTGTGTAATAAGTGATAAAATGTATATTTAATTGTGCATACCTAATTGTGGATCTTATATTAGTATTTCAGTTCTTTTTCAAGTATGTATAAGTACTTATAAATGTTGGTAGCCTCTTTGTAATTAATTCAATAATCTTTTTGTAATGTTAAAAATCATTGTGTAATAAGTGATAAACTGCTTTATTGACTACATATTTAATTGTGGACCATGCATTAATATTCCATTTCTCAAGTATGTATAAATACTTATGAATGTTGGTAGCCAATATATAGTATTCAGTGATTGTCACTGTTTTTCCATGCTTCTATTTCGTAAATTAATTTAATATTCTTTATATATTGTTAAAATTCATTGTGTAAATATTAGAATAAGTGATGAAATGTATATTTAATTGTGGATAAGTCTTTTTTAAGTAACAAGAGAGCTATGCTCAAATATATGGACACGTAGCGCCACCCAGTGGCAATAATTTTGATGACGTCATAGCAAAAAAAAGAAAAGTAATAGCCTTCTGAAGAAAAATTTTATCTTTAACCACTGAAAATATCAAAGCAATTGGTCCAGTATTCGAAGAGAAAAGCGATTTTTTAGACGGAGACGGAGACAAATAACAATAATAAAATTTTGAAACGATCGTTATGGCCACTAAACGTGTCCAATAACCGTAAATTGTTGAACTTACTGCGTAACAAGTGAACGATATATTTAATTGTGCATACTTAGTTTCGTTTTATATATTAATATACCAGTTCTTTTTCAAGTATGTAAAATACCTATGAATGTTGGTAACATCTATACAATATTGAGTGATTGTTACTATTTTCCCCCCTGTATCCTTCTCGTAAACTAATTAAGGTGCTAAGTGATACTTTTACGTCATGCGCTCTATTGCTGAATCTGTAATGGTATTATTTTCTCGTTCCTGTTTATCCATTTTTGATCCCGGTCTGTGTCCAATAAAAAAATGTTTTTTTTTAAATCTTTGATCGTTTTATTTCTTCCATTGGACATGTCCGGCTTCAAACAATACTTGACCTCTCAAAATCCTATATTTTCCTTAATGACTTTAATAATACCTTTGAATTGCCGACTCAGTAATTCATTTCTTTATCTTCTTTATCTGTTGACTTTGTTTCTGTGGTAATAAATCTCTCTCTCTCTCCATGCTTGAATATCTGTCTGCACGAACGAAATGTCTGAGCGGCTGCAACAAATACAATTATTACGTCATCGTTGACTTTTTGTTGATTGGTCTTTGTCACGAAAATAATCAAGAAAATCGATGCGCGGGTAAACACCCATAGCAAATGTACGTCGTCATAAATTAGTCTTATCGTTTCAATTTCCCCATTACCTACTTTCAAGACCTATGACCGATGCTGCCAGCAACATTTTTTCCGCTGTTTGAGGGGACGCTTGTCGCGGAGAACGGTACGTCGGGACGCTCGTCGCGGAGAACGGTACGTCGGTTCGCGCGGTTGCTTTTTATACTTGCTTTAAACGTGTGTTAGCGTTGCTTTAACACACTTTGCTCTATTATAGATTGAATACAGACTAGCTTGTATATCTTTTATACACGGGAGCTGCTTTGTTACACAGTATACTTTCACAAAAACCAGACAGAGCTACTTCAAAAGTGATGGTACCGTACTGCAGTGGTTCCTAACCTTTTTTTTCGCGACCCCAATTTTCATAAAATCAAAGCTTACAGATATTCGCGACCCCATAACTAAAAACGTTCAGCAACTTGAAAAATCAGTATATCAATTTAAATATCTCAACAATATCTGAAAACAATGTACCTGCAAAGAAAAAACGTGTACGGAATCACATCATTTAAGTGTCCATTATTATGCTAGGATTTGTGGTTGTGGTTTTGTGTTTCACTGCTCGAAACGCTTCTAAATTATGTATGAAACGTATATATACGTAATATTGCAATGAAGCGATGTGGACAAAAACACGTAGCCTTCTGGTAAATTTTAGACTCGTGCGCAATTTAACAAAGCGCTTTTGCAACTGATCAAAATCTAAAGAGTGATGATTTCTCGGCCAAGACACCGCCTGTCAATCAACGCCATACTTGTGAACACTTAATTAAGGGCCATTCGCCAAATAAAGCAAATTTGCGCTCGTAACACTGTCACTCAATTGCATTCACTAATACCGGTACCTGCCGACCAGCTGGAAAGTTTAAGTAGCATTCCACGTGAATATTGGCGCTGTTTGGACAATAAATGGTCGAGTTATTGCTGAAAATAGTGACATTTCGTCATTCTTCGGTACCCGCCGACCAGCACAAATTTCACTTTCCAACTTTCAAATCCTAGTCACTTGTGGGTGCATGTTTGACAGAAATAGGGCGACCCCGGAAAATCTTCCCCCGACCCCACTCGGGGTCGCGACCCACAGTTTGGGAACCTCTGCCGTACTGGATGCTTAGGCAATGCATTTTCTCATTGCACTGAAGTACCCCGAAGCACGATTTGCCTGATATTTGGGAGGTAAACTTTCCAGAAGAGAGGGGTTACATACCTAACAGCTATGAAATGAAGTACTTTGCAAAGTAAGCGTATAAACTGCAAAAGAATGGAGGTATATGGAGGGGAAAAGCAGCTATGTGGGAAAGGAAATTGATTAAATACCAATCATGTCTTAACAAGAAAGTTACAATCGAAAAAATAAATGAGCTCGCTAGTGTTTGGGACATTCCCTCCTGCATGTGGAAGTTGCTGACTGGATGATCGGGGCTGCAGCCTGGATAGTATTTTTATCATGGTTCCGGTAGACAAGGGGTGTCAAACTCACAGCCTTCGAACGCTTAACGATAACTGTAATATTTCGTAAGGTTTTTTATTTAAATGTAATATATTTTTAAAACCTTTCAAAGTGGAAGTGATTATTCACACAGAAAAAGACAATTTACAGAAAGTTGATTTGTATAAATTGCAATAATAGTGAAATGCAAAAAATTAATATGTAAATGGCATTTAATTAAAATTCAAGAAAATAAAAATCGTTATGCGGCTGTTTAATTACATCACAATTTACAATATATGTCACACATTACACCTATTGAAAATTTGTTTCAAGTATACATTATCAAAATACATCAAAAACTGTTTGCCAAAATGCAATGTGGCCCTCAAAAACCCACAAGTTCGACACCCCTGTGGTAGACTTACCACATAGATCAGGGTGGTCCAGGTCCGAGGGCCACATGTGGCCCGCCGCTTCATTATCTGTGGCCCGCGTCACATTCTGAGAGTAGTCAAAAAATCGCATTTCGTGTTGTTTTGTCATAAAATTAACCAGAAATATATTTTGACTTATTGTTACATCACTAATGTCACTGAAGTAACTAGTGTTATGGCTCGCTGAGGCAACTAGCAAAGTTGAATGATGTGCTTGGCAATCTAAATTGTTCTCTGGCTTTCTATCGTTTTGATCGGGAATATATGCTAACAATTTTGGCCCATAGAAAACTAAAAATCGAATGCTGATTATAGTAGCTTCGGTTTGCTATGATAACTAAATAATGTTATGACCTAACAGCGTGATTCATGCCGGGTGTTTTTTTGCAACCAGGCTAAAAAGTATTACAAAAAATGCTGCCTATATGTCAGAAAATTTAGTAATTACCATTCTGTACCTCACATATGGTAATCAATCAATCTGCAGTCACTTTCTAAACAAGAGTTTAAAAGAAAGCTGAAGAATTCAAACAGATTTTAAGTGTATGTGGGATAGAAAATACCACAATGCTTGCTTAATATGTCGCTAATAATAAATGGTGTCGGTGACAAAAGAATTGAATTTCAAACTGCGTTTTAGCATCTTGTGAGCAAGGAGCATTTTCCAAAAAAAAAATCATTTGCGCAAGCACGTTTACCGTTAGGAAGAGTTTAAAATCTCACATTTTATGCATAAGTTTTTTAGTGGCTTCTGCATGGGTTAGATTGATAAATGCCATAAACTGATCAATGTGTTTGCACAAAAAATGTATTTGTTTTGTATTGAACTGTTTACCTATTCTTGGCACTATTGTGGCCCGCGGAGCCGACAACCTAGGACCACCCTGAAATAGATTATTGAAGAAAGTTATGTCTCAAATTTACAACAAATTTGGATCTGGTCATATTACATTGGTATTGGATGCAACAGAATTAAAGGAGAAACAGTGTTTTTTTTATTCAAAATTGAACACAATATTTTTTGCTTTATTTTGAGTTTCCCAACATAAGTAGGTTCAAAATATATTGCAATAACATGAGAACACAATTCAAATTTCCCAACCAAGCTTGTTTGGCAAGGGTACACCTTGTGTGAACTTTATCACAGCTTCTCGTGATCGTAACCATCTGGAATGTATTGAGAAAAACATGCATGATAAATCAGGAGCAATGCAAATTTTTGGATCTAATATCTATGCAGAACAGCGAACGAATCATGAAATGTATAAAAATAGTGCTGATTTTAGGAATGAAAGTGATTGAAGCAGTTCAAGTGAAGTTACAGTTTTATTATACTAGGCAAATAGCAAAAGAAAAATACTGAACTTACCCGAATAAAATGCAAAACAGTAACAAATCTCCAAACAAATTGACAAACGAAACCTGATAAGCAGACCGACGAAGCTAAAACAAACCGAGGCTGCCGCGTTACCGCGATTCGCCGGACTCATAATGGCGTCCGATGTGCATCATTGCACTCTCTGTCTCTAGTTCAGGGGTGGGCAACATACGGCCCGCGAGGATATTTTGACCGACCCGCAGACTGTACATCAGTTCATTATGATATTACATTATTACACTTTCAGTACATTATGATAAATTCATTATGTGGTACAGTATGTTCCCCAGCTTTTCTTTTTAGGGGGGGTGTTTCAAAATGTAGGGGGTGGTAAATAATTTGCTATTAGAGATAAAACTAGGCTATTTGTATTCCTAAAAAAATGGTATGTATTTAAGAAACGATGTACATGGGGGCCCACCAAGTTGATTGACGCGGGCCAAAATCCACAGCAGAATGAAATTGTAGGGCCAGAAAAGGGGAGCGAGGAAAAGTGCGGGACGACACGGCTGGGGTTCAGGGCGCGGTCAAGCGCCCTGTATAAATTTTGAGAAATAGGCACCAAAATAGGCTCTAAGCTTGATTTTAGATACACCTAGCATCGCAGTTTGTTATGTAATGAAATCAATAATTATAATATTTAGCTGATAGAATTCCCGGGGAATAGATAACAAGCACGGCTTTCAACCGTAAATATATACTACTACGTTTCAACAAGTAACTTGCAACTGATAGTGACTAATGAAGTTACTTGCTCATCTGGCATTGTATGAATGGCTACTTATGGCTTGTTTTGTTACACATTTCTACTTTTTTTGAACATGTTTGTTTGACTTTTGTATGAGTTAAATTTTGAAATAAGCTCGTCAACTGATCATAATGTCTCATAATGTTGTATTCCTTCAGAACTGAAATATTTTGTTGGTAAGAAGACAAATCGCTGAAGTTTGATTCTTTTCAATAAAGAAATAAAAACGCTGTCATTCATCTAAAAAATGTCTGTTTTCAGTGCCTAGTTTTCGTTTTGTGACATCTTTAAGCTTTCTTAATATACGGCTGATATCTAAAATACTGCAGTGTGTAATCCTAATACCCATACGTATACATAAGATACCGGAATAATTCAATTGTTACGAAATAAACGTGCTTAAACTGTGATAATGATGTAACAATAGACGGTAGGTACCACATGAAGGGTTAAACTATTTCACTCAAGTTCGGCGGGCCATTTTAAATCCGTAATTGGCCCGCAGACTGAGGTTTAGAACCCCTCAGTGTGGAATCGCACCTCAAAATTAGGGGGGGTGTTTGAAATTTTAGGGGGGGTGTTCACCCCCTAAAGGGGGGGTGTAGGGAAATCACTGACAGTATGTTCCCCAGCTTTTCCATTTAGGGGGGGTGTTTCGAAATTTAGGGGGTGGTAAATAATTTGCTATTTGAGATAAAACTAGGCTATTTGTATTCTTAAAAAAATGGTATGTATTTAAAAAACGATGTACAAGAGGGGCCCCCCAAGTTGATTGACGGCGAGCCAAAATCCACAGCAGAATAAAATTGTAGGGCCAGAAAAGGGCAGCGAGGAAAAGTGCAGGACGGCACGGCTGGGGTTCAGGGCGCGCTTAAGCGCCCTGAGAAAATTTTGAGAAATAGGCACCAAAATAGGCTCTAAGCTTGATTTTAGATACACCTAGCATCGCAGTTTATTATGTAATGAAATCAATAAATATAATATTTAGCTGATAGAACTCCCGGGAAATAGATAATAAAGCAAGGCTTTCAACCGTAACTATATACTACTAGGTTTCAACAAGTAATTTGCAACTGATAGTGACTAATGAAGTTACTAGCTCATCTGACATTGTATGAATGGCTACTTATGGCTTTTTTGTTACACATTTCACATTTTTTTGAACATGTTTGTTTGACTTTTGTATGAATTATCCAATGAATTAAATTTTGAAATACGCGCGTCAACTGATCATAATGGCGCATAATGTTGTATTCCTTCAGAACTGAAATATTTTGTTGGTAAGAAGACAAATCGCTGAAATTTGATTCTTTTCAATAAAAAAATGAAAACGATGTCATTCATCTAAAAAACGTCTGTTTTCGGTGCCTAGTTTTCGTTTTGTGACATTATTAAGCTTTCCTAATATACGGCTGATATCTAAAATACTGCAGTGTGTAATCCTAATACCCATACGTATACATAAGATACCGATATAATTCAATTGTTACAAAATAAACATCCTTAAACTGTGATAATGATGTAACAATAGACTGTATCTAAAACTCAAAAGGTACCAAATGAAGGGTTAAACTATTTATTTCACTCAAGTTCGGCGGGCCATTTTAAATCGTCACGCGAGCCGTAATTGGCCCGCAGACTGCGGTTTGGAACCCCTCATCTACACTGATGAATATGCCATAGGCGTTATATTTGAATACAATTATACTTGATTTGGAATTACAGTGTGGAATCTCACCTCAAAATTAGGGGGGGTGTTTGAAATTTTAGGGGGGGTGTTCACCCCCTATAGGGGGGGTGTAGGGAAATCACTGGATTGGATTTATTCAGCAAGTCATGATGATACAATTTTTATTCAATAGGTTTGTTTGATTTCATCTGCTTTTCAACTCGGCAAACAAGGTGTCGCTGACACGATGACTTACTTCATAGTCTTTCGCGGCCCCGCGTCAATATTGTATGTTTAGTTTATATTTTTATTATTATGTTTGTTTAATTTTGTGTGTACAATATTGCAAGCACGACGAAATAAATATCTGAATCAGCCCCTCGACGTCGTTGTGAATAAGCCTCGAAATTGAACTGTTGAACTTGACTAATGTGTATGTATACTGTACTTTCATCTATCGGTACATATCTCGAAAAAAATTGGATGATACTGAACATATGGCTTTACTATATTGCTACCAGGTCTTCATAAATATAAAGTGGGCATTGAGAATGAAGCATACAGTTATCTTTCATAAGATCCATTCTGCAACTCCCATTCAGTCAGTTTTTGCCAGTGCGTTGAGGTTAAGGATTAATAAGTTAATAAGTAACAGAGACAATTCGTCATAGAAGAAACTATTATTCAGTTAATCAACGGAGGAGAACCAGCCATCCAAACTCAAAATTCTTTCCATTGTGGTTTTCAGAAACCATTCTGCCAGCAGCACATGACCACTCAATCTCAGTTTTCATGCAGCAACATACCTCTTTTTGAGACAGATTTACATATATCATTGTAACAGTGTCATGAATGACGATGCAAAAGGTAATAATCTATAAGGAATGAAAATGCCGCAAATCCAAGTCCACCAAATAATCCTGCTTGAATTCCACCTCGCAAGCCAAGAAGACCACCGGTGATAAACCCAGCAGCAGGTGTATTTTTTGGGTCAGATTTTCCGCGATACTGAAATAAAACATGAATCTTTAAATTCCCACTAAATTCCAAGTGGTTTTCATGTAAGAGCAACATTCGATTGTCATTGAATATACCATAATCCAGTCCATGCATCTGAAACAAACAACTGGTAACCATTCCCATACCAGACTGGTAACTAGTAGATCTTGACTCACCACTCGATTAAGTCCAGTGGTGGGATTCAAATTATTTGTCAGCCAGTTTCATCACAAAAGTCATATTTTTCAGTCGGTTCAGTTAAAAACAGAACATTGACAATAACCAGTAATGCTAACCGGTTTGTGATCTCATAATATTCTGTGAGACGGTTATATAGAAACGGTGCGAACCGGCTGAATCCCACTACTGATTAAGTCATCATATCAGCCTTCCTCCATATGGAGATAAATACAAAAATTATATCTCCCAAACTTGCAGAGAATGTTTCTAACATTCAAAGCAATGGGCTAAATATCGGATGTAACCGCATATGCAAGGGCAATTTGACTTGACTAGGAGTTCACAATAATATTGAGTTGTGACTCAACAACAAGATCATATCGTAATACAAAAATAAAGCAGACCTAACATCTATTTTTCATGACAAATCAATCACTATACCGTTTCCAAAGCACATTCAGTTGCAGAAAACATTGCTCCAACAAAAGCAAATGTTTTTCCAGATGAATGCATCCTAGTCCTCATTTCACGTATCGTTTCTCGCACAGTGGGAATTTTAGATGGATCAGTGACAGGCGATTCCACTCCATACATGAATAAACCAAGCACTGCTCCAAGGCCATAACCTGAAAAAAAGATTTGCATGCATTAATGACAGCAGTATGAGAATGGTACAGCTAGAAAACGACACAAAAAACTTTTTAACAATCAAATTTCTATGGGGCCATACAGTTCGAAATTTGTTGAAAAGAGATATGAATGACTCAAGTTTAAAGCATAATTTCCAATCAGACATGGATATTATGAACTAGATGACCTGTTGAAACAACTATGGTATGATCCAGGGTATTGCATGACATAATGAATAATTTTACCTCCTCCACAGGTTAAAACACTTTTGAATACGCAGCTCTCCATGGTAGCGGATACAACTTTATCGGTTGTAGTAATTTTAGGTAAAAGGCTGAAGTTTGACTCTCTGTCCAGGAAAGGGAATGGCTCTGTTCTTGGTCTTTTGTAAACATTTGTCATGTGCTCCAAGATTGCAGTATATGAAATATGGGGTCTTTGTAATAATAAAGGCTGGTCTTTTCCTTTGGGATCATCTGTTGGTAGCATGCCGAATACACAGTTGAGCAATGTCAGGACTATTTAAACATTTATATAACGAGGCCAACCATCTACGTAATACAAAGGATAACATGGTGTTATACAAGATGAAACAATTACTTAAACATGATTGATATGACATTGCAAAAGTATACTTGTACCAGAGGAAAGCAGGAATTGAATTTTCTCATGAGATAATGGAATGGCAATATGAATTACAAAAACATAGAAATTACAAAAACAAAAGAACTATCAAAGAGCAGAAGCACAATTGATATTACAACACAGTAAATAAAATTGTAGGCAAGCAAAATAAGCATAGAAAAATAAGATTTATGAATCAGGTAATATACATCTAATGAGCCATATCAGATATTTTTCGAAAAAAAAATCTTGCTGCAATGATTTCAGTTTGAATAATTATAAATATACTATTAATGAAATATTTTAGCAAACTCAATAGAAACATACTGCAAAAGTAAACTTGAATGAAGGAATTGAAGCAAAACAAATATATATTCATCACAAAACAACAAGGCAGATGGAATGTTATTAGTACGTAAGAACCTCTAATTTTATGATATTATTCAATTAACAAATTAGGCTTCATCTTTTTTTTCTTCAGTAGGTTTTTCTTCATCCACTTGTTTTCCATCTTGAGCACCTGCTACCTCCTCAACCTTGCTCCCATTTTTTGGAGCCTCCTCCTTCTTGTCCTCATTTTCTTCCACTTTATCACCCGAACCATTCTTTTCCTCTTTTTCTTCCACTTTATCACCAGAACCATTTTTCTCTCCTTCACTCTCAGCCTTTTTTGTTTCAGGAACCTCTTCCACTTTTTTTTTTTCTTGTAGCAATTTTTCCTCCCAGTCTGAAAAGTATCTGTCACGCATCCGATCAGTGTATTCACCAAGGTTCTTAAGATCATCCTTCATCAACTTTTCCTGTTCGCTTTCGGGCATTGTGAAGCGGAACTGAGCCAACAATCCAAACAAACTTGCATCAATTTCAGTAGGATTTTCACCCATGAAAAATTGTTTATCACCAAGGTAATCAGACAACGCTTTCAAATCATTGGCAGAAATTTCATGAATCTCTTTTACAGAGTGGCGTCCCATTCCATGACCATTCAGATTAGACTTAACATTTGGTTTGAGGATCATGGCTCCCGCAATTGGCATAATCTTCTTGTAAAAGCCTGTGACAGGAATTATTTTTGAAAATGATGAATAATTTTCCACCCAACGATAATGCACCATTGTCCAGTACAGGTTTTCCTCAATCAATCTTTTGAAAGCTAAAGATATTGATTTTTCCTGCAGATTCAGAGAAGCATCTAGGTCTTTTTCATACTTTTTATTCAAATATGGAATAATGAAATTGGTATCACCAAGATCTTTTCCATCAATCTTAACAAATGGTATTTTTCCCTTTGGAGATTTTTTTAAAGAAACTTCTTCTTTATAAGGGATTTCGGTCATCCTCAAATAGGTTTCCAGTTTCAGAACAAAGCTTGAAAGTGATGGTGCAACACGACTTGGCCCATTATGACAGAAAACTACGCCATCGTCAGAAGAAGCAGCAGTAGTTGTGGCCGGCATATTTTATTTTTTAATTGATGTAATACAAAACAATTCACCTCAAAAAAACTCAATCAATAACTGAAATGATGAAGAAAATTACATCACTACTGAGTTATATCTAATACAGTAGTTTTTGACTTTTGTACTAGTGGTAATGTACTTAATATTTTTGGGTCTTGTGTATTTCTTACCTCAAGTACTTCTAGTAGGCGAAGCATAACAATTTTTGCACATGTCAATCCTAACCCCCGTTTGACTGAGCCATCCAAAAATTATGTCACTATGATGAATCACAGAATCATGTCATAGAGCTCGCCAAAGTATACCTTCCAACCTACGACAGCCCGAAATGGCATCTGTGCCGACGACAAAGAACTCACTAATGGCAGCAATCTGTTTCATATCGAGATGGATCATTGCAATGAGAAAAATAGCTTGATTTCAGGTGATCGTCTGCGTGTCTCGGATGACAGTTTGTAGGCTATACGATTTATTTAGGGGCCGTTCCGGTAATTAAAGGAACCCGTTTGTATACTCTGAAGGGCCTTATTATGTCACCGTGATGCATTAGTGACGTAATTTTTGGAAGACAATTTGGATGAGGTGGGGTTAGGATTGACATATGCAAAAATTGTTATGCTACGCCCACTAAAAGTAGCCTACTGGGCCGTGTTCACAACATGATGTAAGTACATGAAGTACGGTATGACATTGAACAATACTTACCGTATGTATATACAGATGTAAGTCAAGATTGTGTCCTTCTTCTTAGCTCCACCAATGGCATACCGGTAGCCTAGATATATATGTATAGACAGATTGCACCTGTACCAGTATATAGCCTAGACTACCGGTAGGCATAGAATAAATGCAGAAATGTGGCACTATCAGACTACCGTTCACTTCAGGCCAATCACTTTTGACATGGAATGGACAGAGACAAATCCATGCGAATAGGCTATTTCAAATTCCCGCCTGTCAGCAGTACCGTACTGCCGTAACCATGCAGTTTTGTCAACAGGATATCATTTCGACAAGACGATCCAAAACTGCGCTTGGCGACCCAACCCCTCTCGGTATCGGTACCATGTTAACATAATACCGGCACCACGAACATGCGGATTGCGTTGACTATGGATGTTTCCCCGACCCTTGATCCCTGAAAGATTCTCCCTATTATATACTTTATTGCAAAATTTTCAACGCTGATTTTGAGATTGTTTTGGAAAGTTGGCGCTTACAAACTGTCTCACATATTAAAAACAATCTTTTTATTCAAAACAATAAATCACGTGCTGCTTACAGCTGTACAGGTACGGCATCGATAGCTAATTTTAGGCTAGTTTGCGGCAGCCATTTTTGATTATTGCAACTAACTAAAGACATAATGACAACTAAGTTATTTGATTTACAATTATATTTGAAAACATAACTAAAAACTGACAAATAACACACATAACTAACAGAAAGAGTGAATGTAGTTTTGTGACCCCTAAATTAAATGATTGGTGTAACATCCATTGCGCTTTCATTAAGCCATTTTGTGCCTTCATCCAGCTTTATAAAGCTTCTTCAGTTCTTGTGCCAATATCATCCCCTCGGGTTAAAGATTTAGAGAAGGAACGTTTTTATGCGAATTGGGCTGACATATCTTAGTATAACTCATAATACTGTGAACGCTTCGGCAACACATTTCTCCCATTGGCTGAATGAAATTTTTGTAGTTCCTACAAAAGAAAGTTACTACCCTATTTACACCTCCAACTTATACCTAATGAAAATTTCAAGTGCATAATTTATCGAATGCACGTTCGGCATTGTGGCATATATTTTCAAAGAGTATATAGATTATCATCTCAATATTCAAGGATTTTCACTGTAACTGTGACTTGTGAATGGGCCAGATTCGAACGCTATCAAAATCGAAATGGATAATTGCACAACAACAAAGGCATGCTGTATAGTCCAGTGGTCGGTGGTTCCCAACCTTTCTATCCTGGCGGACCGGTAAAATTGTATATAATGTACCAGCAAAAAATGAAATTAGTGGAACAGAAAATAATAACATATATTTGCGTAATGTCGAGCACTCAATATACAAAAAAATAACCCAAGTAAAATGGCACCAGAACGACCGGCTGGGGAGGGTAATGCTGAGGTGGCAATACCTTCAGTATTTGCATTTGTTATTATTAATATTATCTGCCTGCTATACTCGTTCTGTTGGATATAATATACAAAGATTATTTCCTTATTCCCAATAAATGGTCCACATTCCTTGAAGACCAAAATATAGGATATTCAATAGCCTTGTTGAACGAATTTTCCGAGTTGCAAACAGAAATTCTTCAGCTGTGTGAAACACAAGCAGGAAGTGTCAGAGACTGGGAAGTTGGCTTGAAATCGTGGTGGCTTCGACTACAGCGCCACAGTATATTCAACTGTCCGTACTTGAGGTTTGTAGGAGTGAGCACTACCGTGGAACATGAGCCCAAATGCAGTTTCACAGAGGCAGGACTCCAGACTGTCATATAAGCAGGGATGGCCAAAACTGAATACTTGACTATTTCGAATACAGTCTAAAAAAATATTTTCGAATTTGGAATTACGAATACATTCTAAAATCCCCCACATTTTATTTACTTTTCTCAATTCCAGGGACATGGGAATTAAACTTTAATAAATATTGTATTATCATTGTAAAGCAGTAATGAATAGAAATGGCATGTGTGATATTGAAATTAGTGATATTCTTGCTTTTAAGAAAAGAGACTTAATGAACATCGCAGTATTTATATATACTTATGAATTGTGGTGTATCTTGACTAGAAAAAAAAAGAGCAACTAGGCGGCTAGTGAAGTGTTTTAAATCATATAGTAAAATCAAAATTCTTATTAATAACACACACACTTTTGAGACGACTAATACTTGTTATAAATTCTGACTGTTTATTGACTGCGCGAGTGTCATTTAGTCCAGTGGTTCCTAACCGCCGGTCCGCAGACCGGTGCCGGATCGCGGGAGTTTTCATTTTGTTGTTTTTCTACCGTCTCAATCGCCTTACCGAAGCCGAAAATACGAAGTTACGTTAGTTTATTACGCAATTTCTCTTCCGCCGCCGTATTGCTCTTTGATACGTGCGGTATGGACCGGCGACGTCGTGATCACCGGCGCCGAGTGATCACACTTTTCGGTTCCGATTCATCAAGTCCATGCTTCTGAAAACAAACAATATAACTAATCTCATACCCGACTTGGAATGGTAATCGGACGAGAGGCCGTGGTTCGCCATATGGATAAGCCGTCTTATCGGCTTTCCTCTCCCCCGGGATAAATATGTAAATCCTATCCCATCGCGAAAGCGCTCCGTCAAATCTCGCAAGATTCAGAAACCTGTAAATCAGCATGTATGCTTTTTCCGTTCTGCATACTTTTCTTGATTAATATTACCATCCAAATGAAAGGTTATGGATATTTCCTTGTTTGAACCGGAAAACTGTCAAGAACAGTATAATATTCCATGACACCCAGCGAAACTCGCAACAGCGAACTTGTTGTGACCCTGCAGGTGGTCACGAGACGCGCAACAAAATCGGGTGCCGCTGAGATATTTTCCGGGCGGTGCACAGAAGGATTTTGAGTCTGGTGCCAAGTTAGCAACGATCTTATCATTGTCATATAAATTGATTTTGTTTGGGGCATCGATCAACTGCAGCGGAATTGATATGATGAACTCGATGAAACCTCTACTTCACAGTCTAGATTTATAAAAGAATCATTGTCACAATTCGTTCTTGAGCTCTCTTGATAACCCATCGTGAAGTAATCGAGCAATCAAACTGTTGTCCGAATTTTCAACCAGTTACTTCTAGCTTTAATTAAAACGAAGCAAATAAATTGACTCTGAGCCGCTGTAGAGCTACGTGTTGCAAAACTTTTTTTTGATGCCTCGCTTGCGATCCTGTATTGGAAACGAAACAGAAGCAAATTCTTACTGGAGTAAATTATTACGTTTGCACATGATTTGACATGTACATGTTTTTTATGTGAGATGTGTGACTTTGTTGCGTATAATGGGTGCCCAGAACTGCATTTTATTACGCAAATATATATATGTTATTATTTTATGTTCCACCCATTTAAATTTTTGGCCGGCACATTATTTGATAGGTTTTACTTATGTGAAATATTTTAAGTGTTCCTTTTTTTTCTGAAAGCATAGTGATAGCCCAATATTACGCAAATATATGTTACTACTTTCTGTTCCGGCCATTTCAATTTTTGCCGGTCCGCGAGTACATTTTATTTAATTTTCACGTTCCGCCAGGGTAGAAAGGTTGGGAACAACTGATCTAGTCCATCGACATGGTTGGGCTAAATTTGGGCCCAACTATATCTCTACACAGGTATTGATTATTGTGCTACCATGGACTATAAGCAGTGATGAGCTGGAAAAATCGTAATAACCGGAACGCACCTAGTTCGCAAAAATGTTATATATTCACAACACGACGCGGACGTTTACAGAACTGCAATTAACTGCAAAGAAATTATATCAAAAATGTTTGTATAAAATTATACATAGCAATTCAATACAAATCTTATTGGACACGTAGTGGACATAACGATCGTTTCAAAATTTTGTTGTTATTCTTATTATTTGTCTCCGTCAACACGTTTTGAAGAAATCGCTTTTCTCTTCGAATACTGGACCAATTGCTTTGAAATTTTCAGTGGTTAAAGATAAAAATTTTCTCCAGTAGGGTATTACTTTTTCTTTCGCTATGACGTCATCACAATTATGTGACTCTATATTGTGTGTCCATATATTTGAGCATAGCTCTCTTGTTATTAGAAAGGTATAGAATGAATTTTCATGGGGTCAAAGGTCGGGGAAACAACTATTACATGTTACTGCTGTTAATGAGCTAATTATTTGCGTGATGTGACGTAAAAGACTCTATATGATGTAGCAAAACAAATTAATAACAAGTTTACCAGAGAAACTAGACTTTTTGTACCACAATTTTATTTCAACAACAGGAACGCAAATGCAGTAAATTGTCCAACAATCGGAACGCTGTTCCGGTGCATTCCGGCTACAGCTCACCACTACCAATGACATTAAACAACATGATAGGCAACTCTGACGTCACTCCATAAGACCACGAGCGAAAGATTGTATTTCATGATACGCTCCAATGCACATATTTCTCGTCGCCTTTCGCGACCGTTTTCCGCTCGCTTTTGATACTCGGTGTTACTGCAGCGGTTTGCAGCAGTGTCTTTAATGATTGACAGGCGAGATTGTATGACGTCATAGTTAGAATGTTTCGTTTAGTTAGAATGTTCTGGAAAACATGTCATTTCCTGTCTCTGGCCTGTAACACGAGTTAGTGCTGTCCTTGTATAGTTCAGACGTGTATGGCTATATTAATATTATTCTAGTGTCAAATTTTGTTGTTTGAATCTGCATGTATAAATATGAGCTTAGGATATGTACCGGTACTGGTATTGAGTTCAGTTGCATATTGTCTTGACAAAAAGGTAATTAATTGTTATGTTCTTGTTTACACAGTTTGTTATAATAATCTGCCAGAGAAGCACCGAATTCAATGTCAGTTACCGC